CGGTGTGGCCTTCTGCACCACCATGGGCCTGGCCGCCATTGCTCAGCCGACCTGGGCCGTTGGGAAGGCACACAAACCCACACCACTCTCGAGCCTGACAAGTCCTACCAACCCAACTATGACGTGAGAGCAGAACAATCCACAACTGTGCACCAGAGAGCCCTCAACTGGCCACAGCTTGGACAAGAGACCACACTGTAGACTGCACAGACCACAGCTGGCTCTTTTTTTGCTCTCATGCCACGGAAAAGAAAAGGGGGCTGGTGAGTTGGGAACATCTGCTGAATAAGGCATTGAGAAGGGCATCAAAACTCATCAACTGAACATGTTGCAGTGGTGTTCCTAACCCACGTGTGCACGGATGCTACCCGGCAGCAAAGACAAGCAGCCTCGCTCATGCGCCAACGCTTCCCAGATGTCACTGCAACTGAACTCCGGGTGCTCCAAGCGGGCCCTGTTGATTCCTCTTCGCATCTGGCAAAGAGGGATCCCTCCACTCATTGCATGGAATCGTGAAGAAGGCCTCCGTGCCACCTCGTAGCCATCGACTGGGGCTCCCGCTCCAGTGCGATGCCGAAGGCGGCGTACCATGCTGGTAGCCCATCCCCAGTTATCCTGTGAGTGGTGGCGGCCGCCTGTCCACATGCGATGGAGTTCCACCGCGCGGGCGTCCTGGATCATCGTGGTGGCCCGATGCATGTCGCCTCCATGGATCGCTGCAAGCATCACCCCTGCTGCCAGGGGTCCACGGTGAACACCTGCAAGACAATGTACATATGCCCCTTCCCCTCTTTTAAGGGTGGCTTCCACCAAGTGCCAGGCCTGTACAGCCTCTGCGTCCCTGAATCTCTCATCAGCTGCAGCAAAGCGCACCTGCATACAGCCCTGAGGAACAATCCCTTGTTCCCCGGCTGCGCGCTGGGTGTGTACTGGCTGAAGGAACGCTGTCACCATGGCTGTAATGCCCTGTTCTGCGAAAAAGCTGCGAAGCGATTCTGTTGGCAAAGGGCCCAACCAAAGAGTGCCCATTCCCTGTGGCACGGCGGCTCTGGCCTGCCGCTATGGCCGGGCTTGGACCATCTCTCCCTCGCCCACTGGTTGAAGATCTCGTCCTCTGGTGGGCTCCTGGATCTGGACCGCGCCGGCTGGCCACCCCTTCGGAAGGCTCCCGCCTCCCTAGGTCGGGCCTCGCGGGCTGGCTCCAAGTGAACCGGCAATGCAGGCTCCTCCTCCTCATCCTCAACAGCCTCCACCTCCGGCACAGGGCTCACCGCCCTGGCTGCTGCTGCCCGTACAGGTCCCCCTGCAGGGCTCACAGGGGCCCGATCGCCAAAAGATGCTGCTGATGATGTAGGGCCAGCTGCAGGCCATTGAAGCTCTTGGGTTGCTTGGAAAGCTTCCCGGGACATGTACTTCTTGGCAAAGCAGTCCGCTGCAGTGTGCTGTCCAGCGCAAGTCCTGCCGCTGCGCATCAAGATTCCGCACTTATGATCGAGGCGGCAGTCGGGATCTGCGCAGTTGTTCGTCTGGTACCTCAAGCAGAGCACATCTTGTTCGCGGCCTTTCAACCGCAAGGAGACCACCTTGCCGGGCACCAGCATTCCGGTAAGCCATCTTGGGCGATGTCAGCGTGAACCGGCGGGCCGCCCGGGCGCTAAGCTCTTGAGACGCCCAATGAGTGACATGTTCATGCACCAAGCTCAAGTCGCATTCTAGTTTGGCCTTTTCTAGATGTTGCTGCCACGTGCCCGGGCTAATGCTTTCCCATGTGGTCACATGCACTGATGACAGAGCAGACCTGAGAGCCCCGGCCAATTGCAGCTTGATCTTCACCGACAGCAAGTAGCGCACTGCACTATACCGCAAAGGCATCAAGCTCTGCCCCTCAGGCGGTTTCAACTGCCAGTCGGACAGAGCTTGAGTCTCAGTGGGTTCCAAACCTACCAAGGAAGCCAGGGTGGGCAAAACACGCCTTGCTGAATAACTTGTAAGACTGTCAGGATCCTGTACGTGATCCGACATGATCCGACGAATGGCTGATGTGATTGCGGATTGAGTCAGCGAGGCCAACTTTGTACTGTCAAAAACCATACCGAAATCACGCCGCTTCAAAAGTGGAACTGCTAAATAGGCTGGCTTGTACATCTCCCACCAATCCCACTGGGTTGTTACGAAAAACCGTGGGATGGCGAAGTCAAAGCCCCCATGCCTGAGGTTCTTTTGCTTTCCTTTTGGGCACCAACAGTGGATCATATTGGGGCTAGCCCGCAATACAACGGCCCGGCGAATATGGGCCATGCGAAGGCAGCCAAAGCCCTGAATCCAATGTCCAAGCATCCCAGTCCATGCAGGGTTGCCCGCCCTCTGGGCAGCAATGATGGCGGTCTCCAAAACCCTCAACATGGCAGGTTCCAGCACTGGGGCCTGTTTGGAGTTATCCCCAATGGCCGGCTTGGCCCTCACAACCTCCGGCTGTAACACTGAGTCCATGTGCAAAGGGATCAGCAAATTGCGTTGGAGCCATTTCAGTGAGTGATATGCCCTGCCCATTGCCTTGTGTGAATGCACAAACGCCTCAACTGTTGAAGCTTCCAGCTCAACAAGAGGGCGCTTTGTGGTCTGGAGAAAAGCCATGAGTTCATCCCAGGTCATAACCGCTCGCGCCACAGTCGCGAACTCTGCACTGCCCTGCACCTGCTGTGCCCGGCGCTGTGCTGAGTCCAGGCGCTCCTGCAGTGTGGCTGGCGGTAAGCCAGCTGTAGGGCCCTGCGCAGCTCGAAGGATCTGCACCAGCTGCTCCACCTGGGTCCTGCCTCTGGCCTCAAGCACCTTGGCTGGGGTCCTGGCCACCTGTCTCTCACTGACTCGATGCCTGGGAAGTGGCGGGCGTTTGGGTGGGGTGCCTTCCAGCGGACCCACTGTAGACACTGCTGCATAAACCCCGGCAGAGGCCCTGGCCAGGTCCCGGAACTCCCGTCTCCGGGTTTGCAGCCAACTGTGTGCCAACCACTCCCCAATCTTCTGGGCTTGTGTCACGTCTGTAAAGGCAAAAGCAAAATCCCCATCATCCAACAGGCCATGATGCTGTCGCCATGTAGTGACACGTAGGGCCCATGCAGCCGCCTCGACGGTGTCCCGAGGGCCGCGCGCCTCTGGCTGGCCGGTGGTTCCCACCACCTGCACTGGGGGACACATCATCATGGCTGAGATGACCACGAAGAGCTGAAGGCCCTGCACGAAGCCCTTAAGCCGTCTCGCAGATGCGGCATATTTGAAACTCCTCCGCACATTCGTCACACACCGGCATGTCACAGACGTCGCAATAATTGCCTGTCGGCAAGCCACACCATGTACAAGCCGGCAGGAGCGGGTGGCCATTGGCTTCTTGGATATGCCATGACCATAGGGTCCCCGCAGCCCTCTGCTGATCGTCGAGGACACGCACGTGGCGAGGCTCGGCCCATGGCGGGTCTTCCCAAACCCGGCTGGGGCGCAAATAGGTGGCCCATACTGAGAAGATGTCTGCTCGAGACACCACAGCATGGTCCCTGTCCGGGATGGCCTCCAGGTATTGCGGGTAGATGCTGGTGACTCGCATGTCCCCATCCACAAACGGGGCAAGGTCATCCCGTGTGAGGCGACGCGTCCCTGCTTCCCAGTCCAGGGACCGCCCTCCCAAGGGGACCACCACACCTGCCACAGTCCAATCTGGGTGAAGCCATGGGAACTGAAAGCCGCCGTAGCTCCTGTTGCACCTGACGCAATCGGCCTCGGTGCATGGGACTTCCAAAATAGGCAACCCCTGCACCATGGTTGGAACCGACTCATAGGGCTTGTGCAACACAATGACGACATTGGATAGGTGCGCCATGGCCAGAGCACGCGGCATCCCTGCCGCGGCTTCCAGGAAGGCGCGAAGATTGCGTGGCGTGTCCACTGGGACAGTCGCCCATGCGGCCGTGCGGAATACATGGCCGAACATCAAGCAACCTGATCCTAGACACAAATACGAAAGAAAGCTGCTTTGGCTCAGCATATGTACATTATATATACATACACATATTGATGCATCACAGTTCCTCGAAAAGGGGCTATTTCTCTGGAAAGTTTCATGGCAACGTGGACAGGACGCTCCATTTTGGGGCTTTCAGTGGATCCCAGACAAGCCACTATGGTAGGTAAACGCTCGCCATTTTCCTCTTGGTTTTTGTTGGGTGGCAAGCCCTTGATTGCCTGCTATATACAGGTAATTTGATCCTTTGGAGCTCTTTTGGCTTTCATAGTTTCAGCAAACGCGTGCAAGTCTGGCCGAGCCTCCGATTTCGCAGTCAAACTGTAGCCTCCACGTTGCCATAAAACCGGACCCTGTTCAAAGGAAACTAGTCTCCAAGACCTCGAAGCGTCAAGTTTCATGTTAGGCGACGGGAGGGTACTTTACCCCTGGATGTCGAAAGGCTGTGTCTCGGCCTCCTTAGAAACTTAATCAACATTGGCGAGGTGAGGCGTGGATGTCAAGAGCAAAGCTGGGCTGCAAACAATGCAATCTGCGACGCACTGCGAGGAAGACTCGTTGCTTGTACCCAGTTGCTCAGTGGCGCCCTGTGTTCTTTGTTTGGGAAAGGGTTCCCCTTTTAAAGTCAACCAACCAAAAAGGGATGCCCTTTTTGTCCCCTAGCCACTGGGCATCTGAGTGTTCCATCCTGGTACTTGGTCCGATGTCAAACCCCAGCTGGCGCTTTCTGGGGTGCCTGGAGTTCTTGGGTTGCTCCCCTGACATGCGGGGAGTTGAAGAAACTGGCGTCCTGCTATGCCAACCAATCTGCACCAAGCAACCGCAGGGTGCGTGTTTTTGTGTTGTTGCAAGGGGGGTGTTGCGCCAACTCATATGCCACTTCCCTTTTCAAACCCCCCTTTTTAAGGTATCCGATGGATTCTTTACGAATTCTGCCACCCACACCCTGCCACATGCGGGCGGAAAGGCCTCGGTCCCTCGGACCCAGGACGCCGAGCAAGACCCACAAGATGGATGAGGCTCGAAACCTGGCTCCGTCCGATGTCCGCTGGTCACCAAATCGCCCACCAAAAGGTCCTGGAAACAGATTCGGCGTTTCCTGCGACGGTAAATGGAAGGGATCAAGAAAGGAAAAAGGACCGCAAGGGCCCCAAATAGCAAAGCTTTGGCCCCATTTTGATTCGGGGGGAGTCGTGAGCCTCGAAACCCAAGGTGATGGAGCCTTTGCGGCAAGAGCAACTCAGAAGCGAACATGAACGGTCTTTGTTGACCAATTAGCTTTTTGGGCCTTTTGGAGGCAAATGCCTTTTCCATTACACCTACACAGGAGGCACGAGCAACCCAGCTGAATTGAAGATGGTACAGGGTTCGTGCAATCACGTCTAGGGGCGGTTTGCATTCAAACGATTTCGCAATGTTGAGGATGTCACTTCGATGTCATGTTAACTCTGGTCTTGCTCGGGCAAATGACAGGGCGAAACAAGCGAAAACCTGTGATGAAGGCGCCTTACTCCTGGATCCCTCGATTCAGCCGGGAGAATTGCAGTATATTTAGAGAGAGAGATGCAATTTGTCTAGATTGAATGCCAACTTCATTTTTTTTTATCACAGGAAAGTCAACGGGAGTCACATTCTTACTCACCCTAGGGGCTCAAGACCATATGATTCTCATATGGCTGTGGGTCAAAAATAGGCACCCGACATGGAAGCTAAATGAAACCAAACACCTAAAACCCGCGGTCCACTGGTTTGATTTTGACCCCAAACCCATATTTGGGGTCCCGGGACCCCTCTCCTACTGTGGATGGACAAAATCCTGCACCACCTAAGAATCCCTGGAATGATGATTCCCCCGCAAATACCAACAAATAATGGTTTCCCATGGTTCCGAAGTGGTGCGAAATGGATTTTGTCCATCCACAGTAGGGTCAGTGCCACAAACCAACGACATGGCCCCTCTGTCAGGGCAGCACCGACGGCTCGGAGGCTTCGGATTTTTTCCGCCGATTCGACGATTCTGCGTCTTCGTGCAGGTTTGGTCAAAACGACATGATTTGGGGGTGGATGTCAAAAATAGGGTTGAACCCTAAAATGGACCCTGCTAAATGGAGACAAGGACTAAAACCTGCGGTTTTTTTCGGTGGTTTAATTCTGACCCATACCGTTTTGGCCTCCAAACCACGAATTGGTGGTTTGGAGCCCGGAATGTTTGGAGGTGGTCCGCGGGGAAACCCCTTGACCCTCTACCAGAACCAGGGACCCGTTTAAACCGAATTCATCAATCCAAACAACCAACCAGGGCTACCTGAATGCGACCCCCCCAAAACAAATGCCAGTTTACTGTTGTTGTTTGTTTATGAGGCGACCCCCAAACAAAACAACAAAAACGGAAGAAAAACAAAAACAGGCAGGCAATGGTTTCTCCCCACCAATGGATCCCAGTTCCCGCCATAGTAGATGGCCAGCCATTGTCCTCTTTGGAGGGGTATTTGTTTCAGATTGTTTTTTTGTTTTTTCCGCTTTTTGCTTTTTGGCTTCTTGGCTTCTTGGCTTCTTGGCTTCTTGGCTTTTCGGCTTCTTGGCTTCTTGGCTTCTTGGCTTCTTGGCCTTTTGGCTTTGGCTTTTCGCATCCTCTGCATTCCCAGTTCCTCTTCGGCAGGTGGCGTTTTGGCTTTGGCGATCTTTGGCGGCTTGGCTTTTCGCATCCTCTTCTTTCCCAGTTTCTCTCCGGGCGCTTTGGCTTTTGCACCCTTTCATTGGTTTTTGGATTTGGCTTCCCGCATCATCAGCATCACCAGTGTTCTACTTCTTCGAACATCATGGGAGGGGCTCCCCCCCACCCACCTGCTACTTTTTAGATTGTTTGCAGAGTAATTGCACCCCTATTTGAATCAACACTTCTTCAAACATCATGGTGGGGGCTGCCGCTTCTCACCCCCCAACCCCCCCGCTACTTTTTAGATTTCTTGCAGAGAATTAATTGCACCCCTATTTGAATCATCACTTTTTCGAGCGTCCAATTTTGTGAGAAATGCTGTAAAACACGACACTTTAAGTAATCTATGTAATCCATGTATGTCTGTATATGTATGCACTTTTTCGAACATCATAGGGGAAGCCACCAACGCAACCCTCCCGCTGCCTTTTTAAATTCTATCGCACCCGTTCTTGAATCATTGCACCCCTACTTGAATCATCACTTCTTCGAAAAATCATGGGGGGGCTGCCGCCCCCCCGAACCCCCCGCTACGGTTTAGATTTTCTACAGAGATTTAATTGCACTCCTATTTGAAACATCACTTCTTCGAACATCATGGGGGGGGCTGCCCCCCCCCCCCAACCCCCCCGCTACTTTTTAGATTTTTTGCAGAGCTATTCGAAACATCACTTCTGCGAACATCGGGGGGGGGCTGCCGCCCCCACCAACCCCCCCGCTACTTTTTTGCTTTTACAGGGATTAAATGCCCTCCTATTTGAATCATCACTTTTTGACCCCGTCAACCCGCCAGCTACTTTTTTGATTCTGTTACACACGATTTGTTGGTGATGCTAGGGATGTTGGTCGGACATGCGCATTCCCTACGCACCATCCAGGGACCAAACCGCGCGATGGTTTTTTGTCAGGGCACGTACGGCTCTCGGCCCACCACAGCACCGGCCTCAGAAAACCTGGCGCCTGGCGCCGATGTTCAGGATTTGAGGCCTGTGGGTGGAAGAAACATACTGTGGATGGTTGCGAAATCCATTTCGCACCACCCAAGAAACTTTAGAATGAGTCGATTCCCCTGTATATACCAACAAGCCATGGTTTCCCATGGTTTGAAAGTGGCGCAGGATTTCGTCCATCCACAGTAGGGGCTTGATTCCTTGTCCATTATTTTAAACCATCGTTCTGTTCAATAACCGGCTCCATGTTCACTGGGTTTCTTGAGGTTGTCTTGCAAGAAGAACCCTGAAAAGAATGGGGAATGTACCCCTACAAACATATGAGCCACGGTCAAAGCTCCCGATATTGTTCATGATCTTGGTTGCCTGAATAGGAGTCATTAGCATGCTTCTGAAGGATGTTTCCTACCAGGTGGATCACCAATCATCCCATGGACAGAATCCATGTCGTACCAACTAAGAAACCATGGTTGAAACTATTTGTGGTTACGGGATTTTTGTTGGGAATCGAATCATTCCGTTGGGTTTCTGAGTTCGGTGGAGCATTGCAGTTCGGTGGAGCGTTGCATGGATTTCGCAACCATCCACAGTATATAGTAGGTTTCTTCAATCTGGGAAGCAGTCATCCAGCTTTGATCCAGCCCAGAACTGGGTGATTTTGGGTGCAGTCTCAGGAAGTTCCCTTCGGCAGGATTACTAAGCTTCACTGTTGTTGGCATGTTTTTTTTTGTTTTTTGGGGTTTGGTTCTGTTCATTTGTGGTAACAAATGTTGAGTGTGTTGCCTCCATACCGTATGGGTAGCAACTTGTTGTTCAGCCCCCCCACCCCCCGCATGAAAGAATCACTGGAAGGTGGGCGGGCCCAATGGTATTTCAACTTTTTGATAAAAGGGGGGACATGGAACCCCGTTTGGTCGCTGCTCAAAGAGGGAAACTTAGAAGGGAAGCTCCAAAAGTCCAGCAACCCCTCTGTGTGTGTGTCTTGGTGGTTCCCAACCATCCGCTTCCTTGGGTTTTGATTTTTTCTTGGTTTGTGCAGTGGTTCCCGAATGCAACCCACAAGTCAGTCGCGTTTAGCAGATCTGAGCACAGCCCAGTATAGAAATAAAAGACACATGCTTTCCAGCATGTGTTTTTAGCAAGCACAGTTGAAAAAAACGATGCTGATTGTTCGGGGGACCTTTGGGGAAAACGGCTTCGGTGCTTTGGGCAACGTTGGAGTCCGATTCGATTTTCCGAGCCAAGCCAAACCGCCAAGTAAGGGTGACTGAGTGGCGGATTGGCTCGCCAGAAATAGACCATATGGGTTAATCCACCAAAGGACTGCAGGTTTTGGTCCATGTTTCCACTTACCAGGGTTCCATTGTGGGTACCTATTCTTGACCCACACCCATATCTTGGCTCCACTTTCGCGCCTCCAGTGGACATGTTGAGTTGGTTTTTTTCCCCCGCGGGCATGTGAAGGCACACAGCCGTAGAGCCCCTGTTTTTAACTTGTTAGAGGCATTGTTGCTTAAACATTATTGTGACATGCTTCCATCTTATGTTTTCCCCTGAGGCCCTATTGGTTTTGGACGTGTGGGTGGACGAAATCCGCTTCGCACCCCTTGGGGAAATAGGATAAACTCTGCTGTATTTAGTGGGATAAAGCTCCTACCAACTGGTGCAGAACTTCGTCCTGCAGGGTGATTTCCGTTCACGGGCCTCGTCTGCTTGTTGAAGCCAATTTTTTTCTTAGTGGCTGGGGCAGCATCCCCATCATTTGCGCGCATCGCAAGCTCACGCCGGGGAACAGCGAGGAGCTCGAGGCTCGCGCAGTGGGTTTCCTCCGGGCATTCCTTGATTCCAGTTTGTGCATGCCGAATGCTCCCATGACATCATGATGTTCATCAAAGGGCCTCCAAAAGGGCGCCCCCTAACAAAGGGGACGGGCGCCATGGTTTGGCAGGAGGCTGGCCTTCTGGCGCTTTTTTTTCTTCTTTTGTTTCGGGGCCGGCTCTTTTTCGACTCAAGCCATATCGGTTGGCATTCTCGTTGACTTAGGTAAACTCATGGGTGTGTGTTTCAAAAAGTCGGACCCCCCAAAGTCCAAGCTCAAACTCGGATTCCCTCTTGGGATTGGTTGAAGTTTTGGATTGGGTGATTGAGGGATTGGGATTGGATCCTTTCAACAAGTCCTTTATTAATTGGTGATTTGGATTGGTGGTTTGGTGTTCAAATGCCCAAACAACCAAGCCATCGAGGGTTCCTGAAAAATCCCAAACCAACCCCAGAGGGTCCAAGTACCTTCTAAGGAGGTACTTAGACCCTTTTTCACCCCCCCCCAAAAGCCATCCTCATGAGGTACCAAGGGACCCTCTGGGAACCCTGCGAACCCAAGCCAAGGACGGAGAGGAGTACCAGGATGCCACCCGTGAAGCGCTGCCACGACCTGAGTGCGCTTTTAGGAGGCTGGAGCCGGTGCCCCTTTGTGGAGCTAGGGAAACCAAGAGGAGGTGCATTTGGGTGTCTCTTGTTTTAGGGTTTCCATGGGTTTCACTAAAACCTGAAGAACATAATTTCCTTCTATGACACGTGACACGTGACACGTGACACGTGACTTGCGCACGGGCAAAACGGGGGGTGTTTTCTTCAATCTTCGGGCCAACTTGTTGGTACGGTGGATGGGCGAAATCCGTTGCGCACCGCCCAATAAATCCTGGAATGAGTCGATTCCCTTGTAAATACTAACAAACGGTATGGTTTCAACCCTGGTTGCAAAGTAGTGCGAAATGGTTTTGGTCCATGCACAGTATCATCTTGCGAAGGCGCAAGGGGGTACGAGCGAAAGGCATGATAAAGGTCGTGCTCACTTGGGGTTCCCATGTATTATTTAGCTTCAGCTCTGGGATTTGTAATAAAGTTTGCAGATGAAGTGCCAGAGGTTTGGCAACTCCGCAACCGTGGACGTAGAAAGAGAGAGAGAGAGAGAGAGAGAGCCAATGTATTCACTGACACAAGCAAGGAGCAGCAGATCATGCAAAAGTTCTCTGCATTTGCTTTCCCCAGTTTGTGTGCTGAACGCATCGCATGTGCAACAATCACCTTTGCTATTTTACTCGCTGTCTCTTTTTAGTTTGACCAACATGTGTGTGTGTGTGCCTTTTTTACTGGTCCAATTTGGCTTTCGAACAAGCACCCGGTACCCCCCTCAAAAAGCACCCAATGCACCCGCCACGGAAGTTTTGCTAGGACTGAGCCGTGGACTGTTCCGTTCCCCCGGTGGCAGGAGCCGGGGCCAGGCGATTGAAGCACTTGTTTGACAGTTTAGAGGGTCCCTAAATTCGGCGGTTGTGTTCCATTGTTTATACGTTTTAATCCTTGGGTCCTTAGGCTACAATGTCGATGTAGACATGTTTTGATAGAACACGTCAGGTGTTACATTGATGCTGGATCTTGAGCCACTTGTGGCTGGCATGCATTGTGACTTTCAGATGGGTTTGACCCAGCGGCTGGTTTTGGTCTGGCAACGCACCGGGTCCCTTAGTAGCCTTTGAGAATGGTTGGGGTGTTGTCAGGAGTCAAAGTACATCCTTGGAAGACACCAAGGATGCTCGACGGGAAAGCAAAGGAAATCCGCGAGACAGACATTTTCCAAGATATAGGAGTTTCGTGTCACGCGGGTACGGGCTACGCAGCCTTCCAAAATTCGATCGCCGGATGAATCCGGAGGACCCCATTTATCAGAGGAACCCCCTAAGATAAAGTAGATCATTTCCCTACAAGGGGAACCACCTGATTAGTGCGGATTTGTCCGATTTCAACAGAAGCCTCCCGGCCTTTGAAACCCATACCAACTGGTGGCAGCAAGTATTTGAGCTTTCTTCACGGGTGTCCCAATATAGGGGGACAATGGACACCGTGTCAGTATCACCGCGGCTTACAAGGGTCTGATTGGGGCAATTTCATGGGGACACGTTTGTGGGAACGAGGTTCTGAACGGCTCATGAAAGTTCGCACAGAGGCAGCTTACAGGGGTTCATTTCCTTCATTTCAAGCACGTTGGTGCCCAAACAGTGTCCCTTAAGGATGTTCAGGGCCCCTGTGGGCAAACCCCCTTTGCAGGATTGTTTTGGGAGTGCTTTTTGCTGGGTTAAAGTAAGGATTTTGACGAATGGGGTTTAGGACAAAGCCAAGAATTCTTAGGCTCAGGTCTTGGCCTGGTCCCTTGCCAAGCTTGTAGATTTGGAGCCCCTTAAAAAGCAATTCCAAACCCACCCACCCCTAAGACGTTTGCTCAGATTCTTTGGACCCGGATTTTTTGGGGTCTGAACTTGACATAAATCATGATACAGAAACTGTGGGGGGGGTCGTGTTTAAGCCGGGGAAACTTGACATAATTCAGACTACCGATGTTAAACCAGGTGCAACATTAACAAGCCACCCAAAGCCCCGCCACCCTGATTTTGCCAGCTGTTTGAGATGGCAACCGGTTGCTTCGTAAGAGGTTAGTCAGGCTGGTAATAAACCGCACAAAGAGGACGTACAAGACAGGGCGTGGTGTTAGGAATCAGCCAAAGCAAACAGTAAGCAGTTGTAGCGCTAAGGCACCTTCCAGCCCACCCCGCGTGGAAGCAATCTTAAGTCGAAGCCTAGCACCGCGTGAGCGCGGAATCTTGAAAGGCCCGCGGTGCACACTGAAAGTTTGGGACATTGCCACGATGGCAACAGCAAATTAAAGTGATTTACAGCGCGAGCGCTGTTTAAGAAATCGGTTGGTAGAGGCCATTTAGTCTTTAAAAGAGCTGGTCTGGAGCCAGCGGGGGTGGATTTCTTAGCCAATTTCTTCACCTTGTCCGCGTTTAGAGGAATGAATTCCTGAATTTCTTAGCGAGTCCTTCATCGCCCCAAACTGAGCCCCGGAATTTCTTAGCAAAGGGGCCCTTCATCGCCGCGAGAAGGCCGCTAGGAAATCCAGCCCCCGAATTTCTTAGCAAAGGGGTCCTTCTGACCGAAAAGGCCGTTAAGAAATCCAAGGCCCACACCATACAAAGGTGAGCTGATGTAGCGGTACCACACCCGCACCCCAGAAACCAGAAGTCATTGGTTATTCTTGGCGTGGGGAGGTGGTTTTCTTCCTCGCACAAGCTCCAAGTTGGCCAAGAAATTGGACGCAACATCCAGGGGGGCTCAATTTCTTAGCAGCAAATGCAGTTGCAACCTGCTTGGTCTGGGAATCGCAGCCCCTCAATTTCTTCTACAATGATTTCGTCTACAGTGCTTGCACTGTAGAACACCCCACTCATATATGTGGCTTGACGTGCTCCCTTCTATCTACAGTGGAATTGGTCTTTCAGCTTTCCATGCGTTCTGTGATAGTAGGAGGGAGGCCAATCCAACTAGGAACAGGCCTGGTTTTTCTGTGTCCTCAAGTTCCGTCTCGTTTTTGTTGCGGACAAGGCCGTAGCGTCAACAGCAAGTCTGGAATCTGGATTCTGACCAAGCCACCCAGGAAGAGAACTGCAGGTGAGGTTGTGCGCACCGGGGCTATTCAGCCAAATTGTAGTAAATGTCCTTGCAACAGACTTGTAGGAATGTTGTAGCAGCTGCAAACGTATTAGCCATAAAAGTTTGTAGTATTATAAGTGAATATAGTAAATTTGCATTGGAACCCTTGAACTGCTTGGCGGTTCCCAGCGATCCTCTTAGATGTTTAGGTTGTTAGGGTCTAAAAACGGTTTGGCGGGGGTTTCCAAATTTTAGCCCACTATATAAATGCTAAACTCTTCCCCAAGGATCTGAGAACAGCCCAGATTGCTGGCAGTAGCGTGCAAAATGACGATTCGTTGGAGAAGTGATTGAATCGATCGGAATATATAGGAATACATAGGAAAAAGGAACAGACAGACACTTGCTGACGATGTCGCAATCTGGTCCCACGGGTGCCAGGGCCATGCTAACCAAGCTATCGTCATCAAGGTGGGTTTGCTTGACACGTTCCCATGTTCGTCGCGCTACAAAGCGTCCACGCTAGCTTTGCCGACGCAGGACACGAAGCTCCCCATGGCGGAATGCCAGGACGCGACCTTGAAAACGGGGGAGGGGTGTCAAACGGGGGAGGGGTGTCAGCGACCAAGCTTGCTTGTTCGCAAGTCACCAAGGTTCGCGCAACGCTCATCCAAGCTTGCATTAGGATAGGAAAATGGGAACTAAGAGTTCTGTTGAATGTGGCGCAAGCTTGGGGCAAATCCGAAAACCATTCAATCACAGGCCCCGTGTGTTGGGTTTGCTACGAAAATTGGGCCGCTAAAAGCCTACTCGCTTCAAGGTCGCCGCATGTCATGGTGTTGCGCCTGCAGAGGCGACAACGTCCATTCCAGAGACAAGAGCGCTGAGGCTTGCAGACTAGAGTTTAGTTTGAGTGTCATTGGAATGCTTCTGTGAAAACGGAATACAGGTTTCTGCCGCCCGTGACGCATGACGCATGAGTTTTCAGGGGACCTTGGGTTTCCTTCTCCTGGCGTGCTGCGTGCTCAGACCCCCCCCCTTAATTATTCGCCACAAGTTTTGGGCTAGGTTTGAGATCTAGAATTGGACCCTCCTAACTGGACAGGCATCACTGGGCATACTCAGAGATTGGTATGTTGCATTCCCCTTTCGATAACACTATCATCAAGCAGGGTTATCAGCCCCTACCGATGTGCTTTGGACATGTTGTCAGGCTTGCGCGCGTCCATGTGAGAGCACTGCTTCTAATGATCCGGTTCGGTGGGGGAAACGTTGCCCATTTCTGCTTATGTGTTGATGCCGTGTTGACATTTTTCTTGTGAATTCAGCTCTTTGACAATAAGCGATTCCAGCTTGAGTGTTAGGGGAACAAAATACCAGTTGTCCAAAGCGTATCGACCTTTTGACCTTTTAGGGGACCTCTTGGTCGATGTTTAATTATGGCCCCAAAGGTGACCACCTTTCGTTTCCAGGTCCCATAGGAGCAAGTAACTTCAGAAAAAGAGGTTGGACCTCCCTACCCACCAACATGGCTTAGGTGCCAATCTAAGGTGACAAGACTAGGGGGCCGCCGCCTGCAGGATTGGTCGGCGGCTTTCCCCATGGACGCAGGCGCTGTGTTTCCTGCCCGAAGTTTGGTTGTTTTTGTTTTAATCTCGTTGTATTGCCAGACTTGGCTCAGAAACCTTGTCACAGCTAATTCAAATGCCTTCTTGGGTATTCATCATTTGGGCATGGGTCAAAATAGAACCGCCAGCGGACCGCAGGGTTTAGTCTTTTGTTCCATTTACCATGGTTCCATTTTGGGTATGCATGTTTGACCCATAGCCATTTGTTCCCTTACTAGCCCAAGGTTGTTGTTTGTCACTCAAATGGTTTCAACATTGTACTGCGGTTGCGGAGAGTTTTTTTTGAAGTTGGTACCATACTGGTGGTTAATACGGGAAACCAAAAGGACACCCAGAATTTGTGGGGTCTTCCAAAAAGCCACTTCACCAGTTGCATATAGTGAGAAGGGGGCAAGCAGTTGGAATTGGAGTCCAACAAGGCATTTGCAATTGCTGCTGTATGGTTGTTGTTGGGAAAGATTCTACATGTTTGCTTGTTGTGGTTTAGTGGGAAATCTCCACTTAACTGCATGTTTTTTTTTTGTTTTTTTTACAAAAAACATGTTCCCCTTCCAACGTCAACTTAGGGTTCACAGCGGACATTCACTTTACACCGTCAGAATCAAAGCCTGATATTAACATTGTCTACCCAGAACCATGGTTTACACTGAAATAGGTGGCTGCACCCGTCTCTGTCTTGGAACACTCCTTTACCCGGGTTTGGATTGTGGCTCAGGTTGCTGAACAGGTTATCACACTTAGATTGATCCGGGATGGTTTGCCAGTCTCAGTGGACAGTGCACTGGTGAGAGGGGAGCTTGTACAAATACAGGTGGTTCAGCATCAATCCATTCAGGTTGCGAATTATATGAGTTGAACATCAGGGATTTGGAAGTTTGATTCGCCAGTTAGTAGCTGGTTCCCCGATTGTTTTTTTCTCTCTACGGTTTACGGTTCACCCCACATTCACGGGGCCTATTCGTGCAAAAGCGAACCGTTACCTTTGCAACTTACCGCGAATCGAAGAAGAGGCCTTGCCAAAGACAGCTGAAATCGATCCAGGCAGAATCTCACATGGATAGCGGTTTTTTCGCCCGCACCTGGTGGTTCTTTTTGGTGATTCCCGTTCTCAATAGGCAACCGGCCACGTTGTTCCCTTGGTAACCTGAAGGTGCTTCTGTTGATACATCCCAAAACCGAAGGGTGCCAGGTATCCTGAGGACCCTGCGGGGGTCTCATCCAAAAAGTTGTTTTATGGCCCAGGCAAATGCAGCAGAATCCGGCCAAGGTTTATCATAAGCAGTTGTTTTTTGGTATCCCGCATTTTTTCAAGGCACAAGGCGATCCCAAAAGGTCCATTTGACAACTCCTCACAGGTCTTGCTGGTGCTCACCAGGGAATGTGGGAATGAACCAGGGGTCCCCTTAAAGGAAGCCATTGGGGGGGGTGGTTTACAGGCGTCATTCCCGCATCCCCTACTGAGCACCAGCAAATCTTGTGTGTGCTTGTTTGTTCGTGGGCCAAGTACTCAGGTACACTTCGCACACTGATTCAGAGTCGCAAGGGGTGCCATTGCAGTCGAAGCTCGCCACTGTAATGTTCCTTTAGTTTCCAGTAAAACCAACCCAAAACATGATACCCTAAGACTCACCTTCCTGCGTTCATGGACTTTATACGCTTTTTGGGAAGACCATGTTAGTGTTAAATCAAGAGTTTGTTTTGGCCATCCACTCGGGCAGTGCGAAAAGAAAGACACCCCCCATGTGGGCCAATGGATTCTCGCTTTCTCGTGTTCGGACTTGGCATGCCAGGCCTCAATGATGAGATGGCCAAGCTTTGTGCTTTGGCAGAGCTTGGCAATGCGAGTCAGTTCTGTGGATGGGTGCGAATTCCGTGCAACGCACCACCCAAGAATCCGTGAAATGAGTCGATTCCCCTGCAAATACCAACAAACAATGGCTTCACATAGGTTCAAAGTGGTGCAGGATTTCGTCCATCCACAGTATGCTTCGGGTCAGGGATGGTCATCCACCTGGTTGGAATCCAAAACCATCAGAATGATTCCAGTGTTATGGGAACATGACCCATAACCCATGGTAAATCCGCTTCTCGCACCACTTGGAAACCAGGGTTGAAACTGAAACCATAAGGTTTGTTGGGGAAGCATCAGAAACCAGGGTTTCTGAACGGTGGTGCAGCGTTTTGTCCATCCACAGTATGGGCGGAATTCCCCTCTGAATGCTTCAAAAAAGCAGGGATGCTTCTTTTTGGCAGGCTAAAACAACAAAAGCAATTGGAGCTGGTTTTTGTGAATGGCGGGTCCCTTTGGAATGTCTTTTGGAGCACACACACACACACACACATTTTTGTTATGACAAATTCTGATGGAGGTTGTTGACCAGAACTCCCTTTCTGGTAGGGTCACTTTGAATGTGTGCAATGTAAATCAGGGCTCAGTTGGACCACCCCGAAGGCAACTTTGCTTCAACCTTCCTTCATTCGTGGAAACAATTAAGGGCTCAGTTGGACCACCCCAGGAAGGCCACTTGGCTTCAACCTTCCTTCATTTGTGAAAATAAATAACCAAGCGCTTTCTGGTTGTGTCTACAAACCTGGAAGAAAATGACGCCCAAAGTTCGCTGACCGATTTGTTTTGCTTTCGCCTCAGGTGGGATCCATTAAACATACCGAGCTTACATGGCAGCTCACCTCTGACAGCCTTAGATAGACATGTTCAGTGAGATTCCATGTGGCTGTGGTTGTCAAAACCGTTTTGGGATCCCATTCTTGGTTGGTCGGTGAATTCACCACCCATTTTAGTCTATTGGTGTACCACCCATTTTAGAACCTATTTTAGTGGTTGGATTGGTTGATGTTCACCGTAAATACGATTTGGATTTTGCCCCATGGCCATGTTCGTTCCAGGGGTAGGGTCGCAAACTGTGAGGCGGAATTTAAAACATAACAGGTTGCGAGCAAGAGCTGAGACAGTTTACGCAGCCCCCGAATCCCAGGAATCTAGAAAGTTTGGATGTGCATGTGTGGGTTTCAATTTATTAATCTGATGTTGGTGCTTTTCCGTACTCTTTCAATCGGACTCCAAAGCTAGTCTATATTTTGGGGTGGACGAAAGATGAAGCCTGGTCTGAAATTGGGTTTATTCTGTTTCGGGGAGTTATCTTTAGGGTTGTTATGAAGGGAGATTAAAGGAACACCCGTGTGTGAGACAAGCCAAAATGGGTGTGTTCCAAGATAGGGCACCCCAAAGTGGTGTCCTATTTATTTTCCATCAACTTGCTTGTGTTCAGTAGGGAATGAGGGAATGCTTCCTTTATGGGAATCCCTAGGTTCATTCCCTCAAAATCTACTGAGCAGCAAGTTAAACCAACCCCAAACATGTTTCTTGGTGCACACCCATCCGGCTGAGGGCTGCAGCGCGAAGTAGCGGAGCTGGCAGAAATGATGGGTTCCAACGAGATGCCGCGGGCTCGGGCTGAAGTTCTGCGCTTCACTCAACTCAGGCGATGGTGAGATTTGAAGCTTGTGGTGGAAACACATGGGTTAAATCACTCAACCAGGTCATGGACCAATCCAACCCCCTTCACTCAACTCAGGCGATGCCATTCATGTTTGGTTTGGAGTGGGGTTCAGGAGACCCATCTGGTTTGGAGCCCGGTGATTTGGGATGCCACTGGCTCTTTCTTGTGGGTAAATGGGCAGCCAGTCAAACTTCCAAGCCACGCGAATCTTGCTGGTTCTCAGGGAATGAGAAATGGAAGCCCTGTAAACTAGAACCCAGGTTCTTGCTGATGCGATACGTAGGGAATGTGGGAATGAAGCGTTTTGGGGATCCTGAATAAAGCAAGCCCTAGGGTGGATGATTTGTAGGGGTCATTCCCACATCCCCCCTGCTGAGCACCGGTCCACGTGGGTATCCTCGAAAGGACGTTGACCTACTATATGGGTGCATAGGTGTCCTTTTTAGTTGTTTTGGTAGAACAATAGATGGCCCTGGTTTACCTGGTGGTTTAATCATCCACCAGGGCCATCTATTTCCCCCAAAGGGAAACCTATGTATGGGTGTGTTTTTGTTGAGTCCCCGGAATCTGTTCAATTCTTCGGGTCTTTCTCTTTCCCTCACTTTGAGCTCCTGGACTTTGGGCACTTTTTTTGTTTTTCCTTTTTTTTTCATTTTTTTTTTCGGGTAGACCATTTTAAAAACAAAAGAACACACACATGGTTAAAATTTATGGCAACAATAAAACAACTGGTCAACTTGTTCTGGCCACTCCGCTGGATCGGTGAGTTTTTGGCCAGTCGAGTTTAGTTCGTACAACGGACGCCCATTCATTTTATCGTTGGCCTGACCGGTCGGCCTGTCATGTTCTCTTTCAGCGCCTCGCAGGCCAATTCAAGAAGGCTTGTCAAAGCTTATGGCCATTTGGTAAAGGATCATTGCACGGTTGAAACGGGTCGGATTTTCCGAATTGGACCCACACAAAGCAAACTACTTTGTGCGGAGGGTCAACAGCAACCAGGTTTATAAGCAACCTTTGTAAGCTTGATACGCATCTTAAAACCAACAGTCAATGGGTGTTTGGCGCCTTCGAGCAGGGTGACAATGATCACTTGGCCATGCGTAAAGGTCCACACTGCATGCAACAAGCAAGAACAGAGTAAGGCAGGGAGTGCGTTGCAAGAAAGCAAGCAAGCTCACAGGAAGCCGATTTCCATGGTCGTTGGGAAACATTTTTTTACATGTTTGCTTATTGTGGTTTAGTGGTTGAAATCCAGCCACTTAACTGCTAGAATTTGAGAATTGTTGATCCCCTGCCAACGTCAACCAAGTTTCGGCCAGCAGACGCAAACCCAAGCCAACGCATTTCCGCCTTTCCCTCATACCTCTCCAACAAAGGGTATGCAGGAGCCTCGCGCAGATGACCAACATCCAAACGTAGAACATGTGTTTGCGTCCCCTGTATTTTTTCTTGGGCCAAATCTCTAGGGTGCTGATGCTGAGTCTAAAAGCTCAGACCCTCATGTTTAACATGAGCTTCAACGCCAATGAACCCCCTGGTGAATCCCTGCTAGGTAATCCATACTCCCAACTGGGTGGTTCCGTCACTCTTGAGTCACTTGGCTTGTGACCACGTAAAAAAAGAAGAAAAAAAAGAAAAGACAACTCCCTGAGTACGGTGCGGACTTCGGTAAGGTTGAGTTACTCTTCTTGCTGGCGCTAATGACCCAACCATCCCTTCTGGTGTCCTTCAAGAAGACCAAAGCCTGGGTTCATTCTTAAAGAGGCAGGGAACCCACTGAACGGAGACCTATAACCATGGCTTTGGTGGGTTGTTTCACCATGGTTACTCTCACCACTCACCTAGACACTTCCTAAGTGCCCTGCCCGATCGCCAGTTTAATATATTTTTTCCCAGGCTTTCCCCTTGAAAGACACCAGAAAAAATGGTTTACAAGGCTCCTTCCATTTCAAGGCAACCCCTGGGTTCATTCCCACCTTCCCTCTAGGTCCCCCAGTGGTGCCTTTTTGCCCCTTTTTTGGGGGAGGGTTTCCCAACTAAAAAAATGGCTCCAGAAGAAAACATCGGGTACCCTTATTCTAACCTCTCTACTGGAGGTCCTAGCCCGACTTGTCGCTTTGTCTTCACGTCTTTCCCTCGGAAGCGAGTTGTGTGACGAGAATTCGAGCCGAGGCCGCGGCCTGTCCTTGCCGGGCCCCAGGCTGCCCGGGATCGGAGTTTGTGGCTCGATGGGCTCCGGGGCTGCGCTTGGCGTTAAAATCACGGAGAAGGTGCCCCTCGAAGCCACGTACACAACAGGGTACCCTCAAGAAAGTGACACTTCCATACTGTTATGGCTGTTGGGTTACGGATCTTTGGTTGTTTCTTTTTTACTTTTCGGGTTTTGATCAAGGTGGTTTTCCGAACTGAACCCGCAGAAGTTGAGAACTGGGGTCGTTGCAGCAACCGAGGTACCAACTCAAAAGAGACACCCGGCATGCATTTGCAGAGTTGGGACCATTTATGGTGGACATGGCGCCAAAGGCCCACCAAATATCCCCCTAAACTCAAACCTGTTTGTCTGTGTGTGTGTCTTTGCTCGTTTTTTTCTTTTTTCTTTTTCTTCCTCGTTTGGCCAAAGTAATAGTTTGTTTCGGTCGTTTAAAAAGCAAGTACCGGTGTCTTCGTTTGAAACTTCCGCCCAGGCTTTGGTGACTTAGGTCGGACATGGAAGCTGTCAACCTGCCAGCAAGCAGTTCAACTGGCCTTCTGCACCAGGCAGAGACAACCAAGCTGTCAAGCTGCCTAGGGCCTAGAGTCTCCATGACCCTTTAAAAACGGGTGCATTACCCTAAATAATGGATAATAATGGGATCATGGACCTATTTTTGATTTGGGTCACGGAGACTCCAGGTGTAAACCCAGTTGCCTCGGGTGACCGCTCTTTGGTTCGAGCTTTGACGGTTGCTTCCCGGCTGATGAACTCCGAACAAGCATCATGCTGAGAGGAATCTCCTTGCAAACCCCTGTTCTGGGTTCTCGCGATTAATTTGCGGAGCAACTGTTTGCCTACAAATGAACGTCTGCCTGCTGCAACAGTACACAACTCCTAACCCTTACTTGGTCCCTGGATCGACCACACAAGCCGCTATAGACTTGTGAAGATCATTTTTGCCGACTGCTGGCTAGCACACCGGCGTACCTAGATCCCCTGGACCCCCAAAGGACCCATAAAACATTGGTTTTGTTGCGGAAAAAGTAAATCGGTCCATGCAAATTCAAGGCCCTTGGAACAAACCCCTTAAACCCCTGGCAACTTTGATCCATCGCCTTTGCGCAGGCCATCGATGCGCAAATCCGAAGCTTGCACTCTCAGCTGAACCGGGTCTCGCAATTGCTGAGGCGCGCAGTTTGTGCTGACTCGCTCCCTGAGTTCATGGACTTTAGCCACTTTTGGGGGGTTGGACACCATTTTTTGGCGGTAAACAACAAGCTTCGGCTTGTTTTTGGCCAATCGACTCCGGGCTTTTTGGCCATCTCCCAAAACTGAAATTTGATCTGTTGGTTTTCCGATGTTGGCAACGTCTGCCGTTCGGTCCCATTAGGGTCCCTAACCGGCACCGGAACACGCAAGTGGTCCGGCCAACTGGTGGGTGTGTTTTTGTTTGAGGGTACCCTTCCCCTGGGATTCAAACCACCATCAAAACAATGGGGGCTCACATAACCACCATTCTTTGCCCAGGGATCGTCATCATCCAAGTTGGGTCAACCTTTCTTTTAGTGGAGGTTGAACCCTAGGGCTTCCTGATGTTTAGAGGAAGAAAAAGCACACCTTTCTCGGGATCAAAGAAGAAAGAAGAGAACGCGGCTTGGAAGCTAAGAGCTAAGCAGCCATGGCATTTAGGGTGTTCTACATGTTGAGTTTGGAAGGTTTTAGATTATGATAGTAGAACCCATGTTTTTTGTTCTCCCCCCGAGCATGCATATTTTCTGAAAGTCGGGCAACCATTGGTTGGTGGTTTGGATTCGGATTCGCAGCCCTGGTTCATGTTGAGCATCATGTCCACCACGGATTAGTAGACGGCCCCCCCCCCACGATGGGGGCACCTAGAATACTATCTTGAGATCCACTTCAAAAGAGTTTCCAGTCGAGTTAGTATTGGTAGACTTGAGGTTCCATGTGATATAGTGTTACTGGAGCTTCTTTTTGCGATTTGGAACTGAGTCTCAATTTGATTTAGTATTGCTGGAGGTTCCTTTTGAATTTGGACTTGACTTTCCATTGGATTTAGTATTGCTAGAGATTCTTGTTGAAATTTGGACTTGAGTTTCAATTTGTTCCTTTTGAAACTTGAAATTGAGTTTCAATTTGACCTAGTATTGCTGGAGGTTCCTTATGAATTTGAAATTGAGTTTCAATTTGACCGAGTATTGCTGGAGGTTCTTTGAAAATTGAAATTGAGCTTCAATTTGACCTAGTATTGCTGGAGGTTAATTGGGGCCAGGCAACAAGACTTTACTCCAGGGGCCCCTGAAGCATTGTCGAGTTCGGGGCTTGCAGTACTACCCCCGTTGTGGGTTTGATTGTGGGCAGGTGTTATAAGCAAGATACATGTAAGAAAACATGGGTTTGGCAGAACTGATCATTTTGAATTCAAGGAGCAGGCTGAAATCTAACAACAAGGCCTGACGCATCGCCAACATCACCTTGGCTGCCTAATTTCTTAACAGCTAATCGGCAATGACACCGGGCAGGTTGTATCGTTTCGAGGGGCCAGGCAAGAAGACTTTATTCCAGGGCCCCTGGAATAATGTCAAAATGGGGACCTGAAGTACTACCCCTTTTGCGGGATTGACTGCGGACTGCTTTTAAGCAAGAGACATGTAAGATAACATGGGTTTTGGGAAAGCTAGACATTTTGGATTTTGGGGAGCTGAAGAACAAGGTTATAAAGCTCCAAGGGCAGGTGTTGGCTTGGCTGCCTCTCGTTTTCTTTCTCTCCTTCTTTTCTTACTTCTTTCAATTTGTTGTTGCTTTCAGAAAACATGGGCGGGGGTGATGGGTGCTTGTCTTTATTCCAGGTCCAGTTTACTCTGTTTTTTGGCCACCCGTTTGTCCTTATTCCGGGTGCATTTATTAATCCTAGGTGGACATTAACTAACCACCCGGTCTCCAAACCACCTAATCCCCAAAGCCTCCTTTGTTCTGTCTTTAAACCCATGAACCAGTGGCACGGCCGAAAGGAATCGGTCCATTCAAGGTCCAGGCCAACCTAAGCCGACCAAAAAAAACAAAAAGCAAAACGGAGGGCGGGAGGCCCGAGAAGCCCAAACTCGCTGCGCCCCGCCAAAAAGCTCGCAGCTGCGCGGCGCAAAGCAAAGCGTGCAGCCCTGCAGTGGCTTAATCCGTTTCGGACTTGTTGGGGGCCCGGTGTGGAGGTGTCAGCCTTCAAACTGGGCCCTAGATAGCCAAGTTGCGCTCGCCTTTTTGAGTCACTGTTGCGATCGGTTTTTGGGGTACAGTGCATGGAAACAAACCAAAAAAAACAACTGGCGATCCAGGGTCTTTCTTTTTTGAGAGCCCCCGTTTCGGGGGGGGCTTTCTACACGAGAACAAACAGGAAAGCCGAGGCAATTTTGGAGGGGTCCGACGCAGCAAGTGGTTCACAAAATTATGTTTGTATCCCACTTAATGTTGACCCCGGATTAATAAACCCCTGTTTATTAATATGGGGGTGTCCCCAGTTTGAGTGGGATTTATCACTGTTGGAGGGGAACAACCCCATGTTAATAAACAGGGGTTTATTAATTCGGGGTCAACATTACCTCTTTTGCAAGTTTTCTTCCTGGGATGTATCCATGGCTTCCAAGCACTCAACTTGCCTCAACTTGCGGCAGGGGACCATGGGTGTCTTTCAAATCCAAAGCAGATCAGCGGGACAGGGCTCGAACTCGATCTCTGTTTGTGAAACACCACCTGAGCCACAATCAAAACCCGGGTAGATGAAGGTTAGTAAGGGGCAGTCCCAGCCAGGAATAGTTGCGGCCGCCTTCTTAGTTCTTTGCATGGTTCTGGGTAGACCATTTTAATACTGGGTGTTGATTGTGACTCACCTTCTGGTTACCCTTCCACCAACTTAACACGGAACCTGAGGTTTCGGCTGGTCCTGATTTGGACAATTTTCCCTTTGAAGGGACCCCAGACAAACAGAGTTAGTTTTCTTTCGTTGGGGTGATTAATTTGGGAACCCACTTGCTCAGAACCCGCGTAGATGAATGTTGGTAAAGGAAAGTCCCAACCGTGAATATTATTAACGAAGCAGACCACAACCGTACGCAGGGTGTCAAAGAGAAACATACGGCATCACCCATTCTTCAAGCGGTGTTTGCACCCCCCTTCAGTTGTCAGAAGCAAATCAGGTAACCCGTAAGTGGTGGGTTTGCCTTGTGCCTTGTGGGATTTGCACCCCTGGTTCTTGTAGAATGGGTTTCCCCACCCCTATCAACACCACCAATTCAAGCCAGTCTTTTGAGGGAACCTGAAAAGAACCACTTTTTTACAGCACAGGGTTACCCTCGGGAGAAGCTGTCGCCAGGTCACCTCAGTCCCCGATGTCTCCGATGTCTCCATCAATGTCTCCGATGTCTCCATCGATGTCTCCGATGTCTCCATCGATGTCCCCGACAATGTCACCATTGATGTCTCCAAAGAAATCAGCGGAGGACGGTGGCTGAGTCCAGGGACTTGCAACCAAATCGAATCGACCTTTTCCTTATTTTTTCTTGGTGCATTTTGATTGGATGTTAGGACTTTAACTTTCTGCCAACTAATGGGTTTTCCATTGAACCACTAAAAGTTAAACTTTTAGCAGGGGAGCAGAAAGCATCCGAGTTTTAACCTTTTGGTTTCCCCGAGTTCGTCCATTTTAGTTAAGGATCTACAAGGTTAATCTTTGTTTCCAGGTTCCATAGGGGCAAGACTTGAGTGCGTAGAGCCCCAAAATGGGGTTGGTTAAACGAATTCCATAGAGAACAACCCATGGTGCTCTTTTGAGAAACCCTCCAATTGTACAAGTTCAACCTGTTGGGATTGCCTTAACGTAGGAATGAACTCGATTTCGGGGTCTTCAACTCGATTTTCTCCAAGACTTGGCCTTCAACAGCTTGCTTGCTGCGGTTCGTGAGATGTTGCTGCGGGCCTTGTGGTACATAGCAACCATGGGTGTGGCTCAAAATCAAAGAGCCAGGGTTTAGTCTCTGGTTTGAGCCTTTGATCCCGTTTTCCAAGGTGCCATTGTGATACGTGTTTTTGAGCCATTGAAAAATGAACAGAGTGTGCTTGCTTTTTTTGCGATTGTGTCCAAAAGGGCAGCCAACCTGGAGGTAGAAGAAAAGTCCAGACCCTCGTTTTGGCATAGCGAGCTCGCCTGGGGTAAAACGGCTCACTCTACCTTATGCTTTTTGGGAAGTCCGTTCCAGACGCAAACAAACAGTTTGGTTTTTTAACCATTTTGGTCACAACCAAACAGTTTGGAGACTTTTGGCCACCCTGGGTTCCTGGACTTTCTATTGTTTGGGGAGACCATTCTAGTCGCACACAACCAAATCGGTCACTTATGTTGGCCAGTCCAACAGATCGGAAGTCAGACGACTCAAAACCCTACTGGGAACAAGCCACCTGCACCTAGCAAATATATGGCCATGGGTGAAAAGCCAAATCCTACCCCCATGGGAACATCCCAATCCCCACTAAAATAGACAAATGGGTGGTGAATTCATCCACCCCAAAATGGTACCATTGGTTTTGACCCACAGCCAGATGGTTTCCTGCAAAACTAGGCTACAGGCCAGGGTCAGGGTCCACCAAATTTAATTGCAAGGATGGCCAACTGTGCCACTTTTCAGGCACAGCTTGATGAACCCAGGTGTCTTCAATGAGGTCGCGACCCTCCCATGTCTTTTGCTACATATGAAACAAACATGTTGTCTCTGCACCCCAGATGGGCCACTGGCCTTGTTTCAGGGATGACACTTGGCGCCCAAACCAGGCGCCACAAAGGCCATTGAGGTTGGGTGTCAGGACATTGTCGATGGACCAAATCCTACACCGCTTTGAAACCATGGGAAACCATTGTTCGTTGGTATTTACAGGGGAATCACCATTCCGGGGTTTCTTAGGTGGTGCGTTGCACGGCTTTCGCAACCATCCAAAGTATGTTTGTTCTCCAAAGTATTCAACCCATACCTCAAGTTGTACTCCAACATCCTTGTTTTATGATTAGGGCAAATACCTCCTGTTCTTCCTTTTCCCGTGAGACGTGGGTGAGTGATACATATAAATCGAAAGCCAAAAACCACAGCTGCCCTTGATTCTCGTTTCGGCTCGCTTGAGTCTTGTGCATCTCGTGCGACAGGAGGATGTGTTTACCGTAATGATGCGAAACATCCCCAACAAGTTTGGACCTCAGCACTTCACTCAGGGCGGCGATCCAGGAATTCCCAGATCTTGTGGTTTTGCTGAGCGGTGAGTAGTCCTGGGCCAACACCCCGAAGCCGGAAGACGCGGTTTTGAAAACTGGTTGAGGGGGATGTGCTTCTCTGCTTGCCAGCAAGTGTGGAGGTTGTTTGCTTTTGGGGTTCTGTTGATATTTTTGGTAGTCGGGCTGTAAAAACAGTGTGTTTAAGCATAGCTACTGAAGCAGGCGACCGACTTAATGCTGAGGACTGTGCCTGATTGTAACCCGCTTAGCGGAGGTAAATCTTTCGAGAGGTTTGATCCAGAAACAGTCCAGAATTGGGTGATTCAGGTGCAGGCTCAGGAAAGGTCCCTGCTTTGGCAAGGTTGCTGTAGCAAGTTGGATCGAACCCGCTTATAACTTATAAGCCTCCTTGAGGGGGGTTATAACCTCGGTGGCTAACCACTTCCTAACTTGGCAAACAAATCAACAGAAGCAAACCAAGCCCAACCAACCAACTCACCCAACCAACCAAGCAAACAGGCAAACAAACAACAAGAAAAACTAAATACCAATCAAACAATCAATCAGTTCAACTTGTTCACTCCATTGTTTATTGACATAAATCCAATTCAATGCCATTCAATTCGTCTAACTCAAGTCACCTCAAATCAATTTAATTCAATCAATCGATCAATCAAGCAATCAATGGGTCTATCAATCAAACACAGAACACCAAGTCCGGATGAGTGCAACCTTACATCCGTTGCGCGAGTTGAAGACCCCCGGAATTTTGGGTTCCCATGGCGACACGGGCTGGCGGAAATGAGCTCCCGGGAGTCCCGAAGAAAGGAATCCATATCTGTACATCGAAATCCATGCATTTCGCACCACCGAAGAAACCCAACGGAATGATTTTTGATTCCCCGGTAAATGCCAACAAACGTTATGGTTGCAACCATGGTCTCAAAGTGGTGCGAAATGGATTTCGTCCATCCACAGTAGGGGATGGGTTCTGAGAAACAAGCAAGTGTTCGACTGAACCCTTCAAAAGCGCTTCAATCTGTGCTGCACATCACATGTCTTTCTTTCGCCTGGAAAACAAAGCGACAATCCTTCGTCTTGGGAATTGATATGACCTTGAAACAGTGACGAGAGCAAATCGCTGGTTTCCTTTCCCTTTTCCAAGGAAGATCCGCACTGCTTCTACAAAAACGGGCTGTTCGAAAAGGAAAGTTTGGTGGGGTTTGACAGTCAATGCAGAGGTGCTCCTCGCTTTTGGCAGTTTGGATCTGAAAACGGACAGCCATAAATTGTCGTCTTGGCGAAACTACATCAGCCCCCCTTTTTCCTTGATTGCTCTTGAGTTGGAGCTTCAGACTTTGACCGTTTGGTTGAGCCCACACAGAGTTGAGAAAACTTGTTGCAGAGGGGTCGTTACAGCAACCCAGTTTCGGTGACGAGCCTTTGCGACGGCCTTCGGTCCGGCGCAAGACATATGACACATTTCAGCCCGGCCCAAAGCTGCTATTCAGTTCATTGACCCCGCAGGAGTGAGTGTTTAAACCCAAGTCGGAGCACATATTATATATTATATATGTTACATATGTTATGTATACATATATATATATATATACACATTGCGTGCATGTATGACTACACTTATATGCATGTAATACACGTATATGTATACATGGTCAATACGCCGTGGCAAACCCAGGGGTTGTGTGTGGTTGAACGCGCAAAGCTGAGTGCCAGGTGCCCCCTTGTCTTGAAACAAAGCATCGGATGAAAACAAGAGGGGTGGCATGATCTACTACCCTCCCTCCCATTGCCACGATGCCTGACAGGGAGTCCCTCCAAGATTATCAAACTTATTTTCCAGGTACCCTCCCACAGGTGCCATGTTAGTGGGAGGTGTGTCGAAGGCATAAACCAAACAAGAACGGTGAATTGTTGTTTGAAATCCGAACTTTCCATGATCTAACGTGACAAGTTGCATCTCCCATGACATTTTTTCTCCACCCTGGCCCCATGCTCGCCCCCGAAAAACATCTCGAAACTTGGTGGCTCCCAGCCATCCCCTTAGCTTTTTAGCCTTTAGTGTGTAGTTTCCATATAACCCACTAGAGGTTGTTCACTTTTAGCATGGGATCAGACAACGGGCCGCCCAGGAAACCCTCGACTGGCCGTCGCATGAGGTACACCCAGCGGATGCTGATCGAGGAGGTGAACTCCAGCGGCTTCAACGGTGCTTACGCCACTCGGATCCAGGCGAAAGCGTCGAGGCCAAGTTTTCAAAGTTTTGGACGGCGGGAGTCAGGTGCCACCGGTAAAACCATGGGGCGAAGATCTAACCAAATCTAACCACAATGGTTTACCGTTCAGGATGGTCATCATCCAAATTGGGTCACTAAGAGAAAGATGGGGGAATCTAATCACATCTACACTCCCTCAAGCTATCGGCCGGAAGCTCCCAGAAGGCCGATCCTGTAAATGGACCCAAGTCTTCCACACAGGTCCTGGGAGCTTCCATGTTAGTCTGCGGGGGAGGGTAACCACCATGGTTTATCGTTCAGGATGGTCATCATCCAAATTGGGTCACTAAGAGAAAGATGGGGGAATCTAATCACATCTACACTCCCTCAAGCTATCGGCCGGAAGCTCCCAGAAGGCCGATCCTGTAAATGGACCCAAGTCTTCCACACAGGTCCTGGGAGCTTCCATGTTAGTCTGCGGGGGAGGGTAACCACCATGGTTTATCGTTCAGGATGGTCATCATCCAAATTGGGTCATTGGAAGAAAGATGGGGGAATCTAATCACATCTACACTCCCTCAAGCTATCGGCCGGAAGCTCCCAGAAGGCCGATCCTGTAAATGGACCCAAGTCTTCCACACAGGTCCTGGGAGCTTCCATGTTAGTCTGCGGGGGAGGGTAACCACCATGGTTTATTGTTCAGGATGGTCATCATCTAAATTGGGTCATTGGAAGAAAGATGGGGGAATCTAATCACATCTACACTCCCTCAAGCTATCGGCCGGAAGCTCCCAGAAGGCCGATCCTGTAAATGGACCCAACTCTTCCACACAGGTCCTGGGAGCTTCCATGTTAGTCTGCGGGGGAGGGTAACCACCATGGTTTATTGTTCAGGATGGTCATAATGCAAATTGGGTCATTGGAAGAAAGATGGGGGAATCTAATCACATCTACACTCCCTCAAGCTATCGGCCGGAAGCTGCCAGAAGGTCGATCCTGTAAATGGACCCAAGTCTTCCACACAGGTCCTGGGAGCTTCCATGTTAGTCTGCGGGGGAGGGTAACCACCATGGTTTATCGTTCAGGATGGTCATCATCCAAATTGGGTCATTGGAAGAAAGATGGGGGGAATCTAATCACATCTACACTCCCTCAAGCTATCGGCTGGAAGCTCCCAGAAGGCCGATCCTGTAAATGGACCCAAGTCTTCCACACAGGTCCTGGGAGCTTCCATGTTAGTCTGCGGGGGAGGGTAACCACCATGGTTTATCGTTCAGGATGGTCATGATGCAAATTGGATCAGTTTTTGGTTTTAATGGGGGCAAGGAACCCTAGGGATGCTTCCGAAGCCCATCCCGTTCGCACCACCGAACTCAGAAACTTAACGGAATGATTCGATTCTCGTAACAAAAGTTGCAACAAACAAGGGTTTCAACCATTGGACCATAGTTTCAAAGTAGTACATAATTTCGTCTATCCACAGCAGCACCCAAGTAGGTGGTTCTAGTACCTGGTTTCAGTGGGAGTGTAGGGCCCTTTCCTAAACCTCGTAATGATGTTAGGACCAACAGTCAATAGGTGTTGGTCGTAAAATATGGGTTTGTTTTTTGGGGGACCCATAAAGCACGCGGTTCATCTTTAGATTCCCATTAACTCACGTCAACCCTCAAAATGAAAGCATCACAGGGGCATTTCCCAACATAGAGGTCCCAGAAAGACTTTGGGTTTTCTGTTGTTTCCCTTCATATATACTAAAAGAGGGTCCACCATGTTGAGAAACTTCCGTGTTGCAAGTAGGGAACAAGGGAGCCCCCCACCCACCCCCCACCCCTCAAAAAAGAAGAAGCATCATTTGCCATGAAACGTGGTTGGATTACTTGCAGATTGAAGGCATCCACCGTACCAGCGGGTGGCAGAGAGCAGGCACCCAGTTCCATCTTCCAGAGGGGAGATGAATTTGCCATGTGCCGTCATGAAGATTCGGACCAGCAGCTTTCCTTTTTCCATTTAAACCAAGCGGTCACCCAACACCCAACAGCCATCGCCGGTTTCATCAGAGACTTCAAACGGACCAGACGTTTCTCGGGACGTTTGGACCTGACCCTCACATGGCTCGCCTATCGCGCTAAGGACTTCCTTTACCTGCCCATTGCCCATGGCTCAGACGGGAGTCGTGCCGGGGGGTCAGGTCGCCTACCAAAAAAATTGGTTTGCCCGGGAGAACGCGGACGATCTTGCGTGAGTGTTTGTGTGTTGGTGAGTGTGTTGTAACCAGGTGTTTGTCTTTGTGTGTGTGTGTGTGTTCCATGGGATGTGTGTATGTGTGTTTGTATGTGCTTGAGTGTTGGGTTGTCTTTCTGTGTTTGTGTCTTTGTGTTGTTTTGTCTCTTTGTTTTCTGTCTCTCCGTCTGGCTGTGTGTGTGTGTGTCTTCGCCTGTCTTCGTATCTGTGCGTCTCTGTGACGTGTTGTTGTTGCTTCGGACTTGGAAGCTCTTGGGCCCAGTGGTGCCTTTTTTTTCCTTTTTTTGGGTAGGGTTCCCCCTTAAAGTCAACCAACCAAAAAAGGATGCCCTTGTGTCCCATGGCCACTGGGCATCTGAGCAATGGGTGTCCGTTGTTTTGTCCTTTTGGGAGGGTCTTTCTCCTTCACGTTTTTGCCGGGGGGGGAGTCTTTGGGAATAAAAAACCCATGTCCCTCTTGTCCCATGGCCAGTGTGACATGGCAGCAGTCCTGAAGATATGGGTTTGCCTTTGTTTTGGAGGTACCAAGGTTTTTGCCTGGTGATGAATGAACACCAAAAGAAAAACCACCATTTTCAGGGGCCCCCTAAATTAATAAATAATAATAATTATTATTATTATTAATAATAATAATAATAATAATAGTCTGTTACGATGTTTTCGTGGCACCGAAAACGCAGGAAGACGGGCCACCGAATTCCGATGAGTGAACTTCATGGGGAGCAGAGGATTGGCATTGGCGTTCGTTGACACTGCGCGTGTGCCATGGTTCAGGATTGCTGGGGGCTACTGTGGATGGACCAAATCCATTTCGCACCACCGAAGAAACCCAACGGAATGATGATTCTGCTGCAAACACCAACAAACGATGGTTTCCCATGGTTTCAACGTGGTGCAGGATTTCGTCCATCCGCAGTAGGAATTTGTGTGAGTCCTGCAAATCAGGGAGAGACGGCCCGTGGCAGTCAGTCTTGGGTTGCTTTGGACTTGGGGAGTATTTCAATGCGTCCTACATTCCCCCTTTTGTCCGTTTCAACCATCACGAAGTGAGTTCCCTTTTGGCGTGATGTTTCGAAGGTCACGTATTGGGACCTCAGGGCCTCTTCTTGGGAGCGACCTTCTTCGGGGCGGCCATGAAGATGTTTGACCACTTGGAAGTTGTTGCATTTGATTGCAAAGTGATGCCAAAGAACTGGGGCATTTCAACAGGTGCCACTGGCACCCCTTGGTGATAGGACATGAAGGAAAATCGGGAGGTGGAGTTTCACGGAAACCAAGCGAGTACTGTTTGAGCCGCTTTTGGGGTTGATACTTGGTATCAGGATTTTGTAAAGGACAAGATTGTGTCATCTCCACTGAAGGGGGTGGGGTGAGGCTTACCCTTGGCCCTGCAATAAGCTTCGAATGGATAATTTGTTGCTAAAGTTGCTAAAAAATGGAAGGAGGGCTTCTCACGTCTGTAAATCGGAGGAAATTTCTGTAGAGGGTAGGTGGGAAACTACCCTTCACCACTACTCGCTCCCTGAGTTTCTGGGCTATGGAAAACCTGTTTAGTGGCAAATAAACAGTTTGAACTTGCTTGGCCAATTCACTCAGTGAGACTAAACCACCACTCCAAACCACCAATTGGAGGGAAGCAGATTAATCATGCTTGTTGATTTCCCAGGTCTATTTCCTATCCAGCAATGCTAATGTTAGCCACTGATTCATAGCGCACACACACACACACACACACCCACACCCGGTTGTTACTCATCGAGTCTCCCCAAGAACAGAGCTATCCTCAGTGTCGACCTTTCCGAGTAAGTAGGTAGGCTGGTTGCTTTGTAAGTGGCTGGTGCCCATAATCAAGTTAGGGGACATTCGACAGGATAACTACCCACTAATGGGAACCCATCATCACTAAAAACCCTCAGGAATCAACTTGGCGGTTCCCAGCGGGACCTTAGGTTTTTAGGTGTTTATGATTTTGTGGTGGGGTTCCTTTTGTCCCACTAAGGTTAGTCACTTTTCGCAGGTGATCAGTTTGTAGACCCCAACTAATAGGTGGTGTTCCAGGGATCCTTTGCTTTAAGCACCCCCTCGAACTTTCTAAATTTATGTAAGAGTAATTGTTATTTTCCCCTGTTGGTTTTAAAGGGAATCTATCACTACTGGAAATATTTTCATTTTTTTCCACGGGACTTAAGCAAATGGAGGTGTTCTCGTCGCCAGTGCATGAAGTCCAGGGACCGCGGGACAGGACAAAGAGTCCGGTGCCAACAAGGGCTACGCCTTCCTGAACTTTGTACGTGCCACGCCCAGAAACTCTCAGGGTTTTTGCTGCTGAAACCCCGGTGGTACCACTTTCGACAGAAGATTCCCAAATGAACAGCGCCCAAAACTATTCGCTGAAACGAGGATTGTAGCAAGGCCCTTAGAACCATCCAGAGAACCCAAAGTCTGAGGGTTTTTGTATGACACCCTGGGAGTACACCCTTGGGAAATGACCGCGAATAGTAAAAAAAACGTGGTTTTACCCGCACATGTGCCTAAATGGGGTCAAATACCCAGTGGGTGTATTCCCGGGGTGCAATGCAAAAACCCTTAGAGAAGTTCTGCCGAGCTAAAACGGCGGCGAGCTCTGAATGTGCCAACTAGGGCACTTGTCCTTTAGAGGAAGCAAGCAAAATGTAGCTGGTTCGATAGGCAGGGAATGAGGGAACCACTGTAAACCATCCCCTATGGTTTCCATTTGAGGCCATCCCTAGGTTCATTCTCGACACCCTGGGTCATTCCCTGAGCACTGGGAAGCCTTTGATGCACGAAAATGGGTGTACACATTGCTGTGAGACTTGGGAATCCCAAACTGGTCTGCGCACACAGATCTCCATGTAAATGATATCCACGTTGGCTTCCGGTGGGTCAACATTTTGACTTACATATATGTGTGTGTGTGCATGTGAAAATAGGGAACCCCAACAACGGAGGTTTCCATGTTTGTTTTCTTTTAAGGACGGCAACAGGCAACCCCAAGAAGGGTACCCTCAAGAAAGAACAAACCAATTTTTGCAAGTCTTCAGTGCCGTTTTTCAACGGCATCTCGGTGAGAGGGAAACGCAAGGTTCTTGCAGAGCGGGCCCAGCGGGTTGATACGTTGAAGGAGCGATACACGGCAAACATTGCTTTTACCCCTTGAAAGGTGTGTGGGTGTGTGCCCTTGCTTTTTTACGCCTCACGGCGACCAGAGATGATTCCGACTTTTTGAGAGGCTTCTCCGGAGGTCTGCACCCCAAAGGGCCTTTGCACATCCTTGGGATACGACAGGATGGCCAATCCGGTGGTTTTCCAATCGGAATTTATTCGGGTTCCAAGCCATTTCCCTTGAACAGGAACCTCGAACAGTGGCAGTTTGTTCGGAGCAAAACGGAGTAACCTCAAGAAAGAATGGCCACCCATCTAAGTTCCCTCAGCTTGGCAAATGGGACACCAACACATTTCGGGCTCTCCTCATGAAAAGGGGACCTGGGCTGTTTCCTCAAGCGGCGATAGCCGAGTTGCCCTAAATCAGGGGCCACTGAGTTTCCACTTCAAGGGAAACCTAACAGAACACTTCTTCTTCTGCTTTTTTTTGGGGGGGCGGGCGGAGGAGGGCTAAGCGAAAGACATACACCCACATGGTTTGGGAGTTCGCTGAACGGTTGGTAACCCTGGTTATAACTTATAACCCACATCACTTAGGACTTACCATGGTAAGTGGGCTAGAAGCATGGTCACCAACCACTTAGCTGAGTCATGCACCATCCAAGCCCTTAAGGCACCCATTTTTGTTTTCACGTTGTCTCATGCATTCCTCGGGCAGACGCTGGAACATGTGTATTCAACAGGGATCAATTCCAAAGCAACGTATCTTCCAGTTGCTTAAGATTGTTGATTTTCCTTTGTTGGGTTTGAGTGGACTCTATTACTACTAGACTTTTTCCCGCGCGGCTGAAGTCAGGCGCACACTCTCTCTTGTTGGTTTGGATTGGTGTTCCGGGGATTTGAACCCCTGGTTCTTGTGGGTAGATGGGAAGCCGCTCTGTATAACCTCCAAACCACCAATTAGAGGGAAGCTGATTTTAGCCTCACTGGCCCAAAGACACCCTTTCTTTTTTGTCATTTTCAGTCCTGGCCCCAAAAGGTTAACCGTTTGTTTCCAGGTCCTTTCAGCAAGCGAGAAGCAAGGGAGGTGTGAATAAGTGGACTCGCTTCCCCATTCTCGGGAAAAGCTTGGGCATGGCTGGTCAAGGGGATTTGGACCCTGGAACCCATACGAACCCACATTAACCCATTATAACCCCTGACATGATTTGGACCCTGGAACCCTGGTTACCCACATGAACTCTGAGTCTGGAGCCTAGTAGCTAGTGAGTTGCAGCTTTAGGGGAACTGTGACCCGGGTACCTTCACCCAGCTTTGGCAGCATCAGGCCCGGACCTCGCCTATGCCTTCAAGCCTGGAAGCCTATGTGAGAACTTGGATTTCCCTTCTGGGAAGTTCCACATGTTCTTTTGTTTGTTTGTTTTTTTGGGGGGTGCCCCCCTTTTTTTGAGGGTTGAAGAAAAGGGAACTTTGATTTTCCCAAGAATGCTGGATGTCTGGTGTTTGAGGGTACCCCTTTTTTGGGGGTTGAAAACAGGCTAGCCAACAGGAAAACCACCATTCAGGGAACATCCCTTCCTCTAACATGGCACCTGACAGGGATGGGGCCCCTTCAGGAGATTGATCTTCCCACGCACCCTCCCACAGTTTCTATGTTGGTGGGAGGGAGGATACCTTGTTTGGGGGGTTTTAAAGGGGAGCCAAAAACACGCCCATCATTTTGGGGCGGGGGGGGTCCCCTCAATCAAATGCGCAATTTCCTGTGAAACCAGGGTCTAGCCAACTCACAAGTCGTTACCAATTTCCGCAAAGAGGATGGATTCAGAGCTTATGTTTGCAGCTCTCATTTTGTGAAAGCGTGGACAAAAAACAAACGACGGGCACCAGTTGGGATGCATGAAGCCCTACAAGTTTTTTCGGGCAGGCTAATCCCAACTGGTGCCGATCTGGGGGTTTTCCTCCATTTTTTTTCCGAGCCGTTGAAAAACTTTCCAACACTTTCGCGTTCAAGTTGGCTTTTTCAGGTAATGTTGACCCCGGATGAAGTTAAACCCATGTTTGTTAATATGGGGGTGTCCCCAGGTTGAGTGGGATTTTTATCACTTTAGGGGAACAACCCCATATTAATAAACACGGGTTTCCCTTCATCCGGGGTCAACAGGTCGGGGGTTTGGAGGGTTTGGAGCTGAGAGCTACCACTTATGTCTGTCAGGAGTAAATTTACTGCCGTACAAGCCAAAATTGGGTCTGTCTCAAAATAGGGGACAAAAAAACCACGTAATTAGATGATGGTGTTCCTTTTAGCTCCCGTTAAAACCATCCTTTAAACGGACACCAAAGGAGGCCGACTCGCTTTGAATTGTGAGACATACAAGAAGGAAATCTGAAGTACAGGCGCCCTGGGGAGGCTTGCTTTCTTGTCAACTCAAAGAATCCCCCGGGCCCACTGACCCGAAACATCCCAAAGAAGAAATATGGCAGTTAAGTCATATGCAGAACTTATCTGCCCCTAATTTGTTCTAAGCTTTGGCTTACCCTCGAAACAAATCTTCTAGGGGTCTGGTGGTACAACCTTTGACGAGTTGTTGTGGACGGTGTTTTGCAAGCCAACAATTTCCCCATTGAATTGCTGTTGGAAGCCCTCTGGGGGTCAAGAATGGGGAACTCCTCAGTGAAAAGACAGGTTCCTTTACTTGGGGTTAACATGAATGGTCGTCCGCCTGGCAGTAAGCATCCTTGCTAAACCATGAGCCATGAGCCACACAAGGAGTGTTTACCTCGGCACATATGAAATGGGTGGTTTCCGCCTGCCTTCCTGCAATCGCAAATATAGTTGCTTGGTAGCTGGTCAGTATTTGGGTGTGTCTCTTTTAGGATTCGGACACCCACATTTGTCCTCTTGGTTTCCCTCAAGCAACCAAACAAGGGCACCCTGGGGAAAAACCACAAAAAAAAAACACTCTCCAGGTGTTTTTGACAAACACTTCTGGATTGTTTACAAGGCTAACCGAGGTCAAGAGCCGCTTGCCTGCTTTAAGCTTGCGTGTTTTCATGTGGATCTGGCTCGGGCATGTCGCATCCAGGCACTTTTTGGGCAAGGCTCGGAAAGGCGAGCCCGCTGCACAGGTTTGTATCAATAGACCTTTTTTGGTTTGGTCGGGATGGTCATTAAGCTGGAGCATTTTTTTGGACAGCTATAGGCTATCAGGTTGGATGTCTTTGGTTTTGTGGCGGTTCTTTTTCTGAGGTCTCCTATGGCTAGTTGTTTGGCTTGTTGGCTGTCTGGCTGGCTGGGTCCCATCAATTGGTCGGGATGGTCATGAAACTCTCAGAGACTCTCAGAAGTTGTTGGACAAACTATGCAAGAATCTCAGCACCGCCCTCTTGAGTCTGTACCGCCCCAAAGGTCCGGTTATCGGCTGGCTTGGCTGGTTGGTTCGCAAGGGCATGGCCAGGACCCAAAAAGACGAGTTGCTGAGGATGGCCTTCGATGGGAAGCAGATGGCCCAGTTCAGGTCGAACAAGATTGTGAACGCCTGGGCCCTCAGTTTGGGGCTCGCTCGCCCCCAATGCGAAGGACCGGGAAACAAACACTTTGTGCGTTCATGTTGCTGAACCATTTTTTGGCGGCGCCTGCTTTCAGACAGACATTTTTGCTGTTGGTTTTGAAGGCGAATGTGGTGTGCTGTGAATCACGGCACCAGAGGCAAATTCTGGGTCATTGCCTCATTCGCTGCTGAGAACCAGCAAGTTGTTTGGTAAACCCTTTCCTACTGCACCATGATGCATGTGAAAGTTGCCGGAAGGACCCTTTACGCAACGTGTGTGTGTGTGTGTGTGCTCTGCTTTTGTGGCTTTAAAGGCGGACCAAAAGCACAACCGCAATTTTGAGGAGTTCCCCCAAGAAACAGAGAGACTCACACACCATAGTTGCGGCCCATCTACCCTCTACACGAACCAGGGTTCAAGTCCCCAAGCCACCAATCCAAACTAGCAATCGGGGATAGCTGATTATTTTTCGAAAACTTCCTCAGTTCATGGACTTTATCCACTTTTGGGGTTTGGACCATTTCAGTGGCATACACAAAGTTCGGTTACTTTGCTTGGGCCATCTCGGGAAGTGAGTTTGAGTGGCACAAACGTGGTTACTCTTGGCCAGTCGATCGGAAGTGAGCGAGTGTTCCGCCAAGGTGGCGATTCTGGATTGCCAGTTGCTGCTTTGTTCCATCCACTTTACCCCGAAAACCAGCAACAGTGACTGAAAAAAGCAGCAATTTGGTTATCTAGGACGATTTTTTTCCGCGGGAATCATCAGCCTGAAATCGAGGTGGCACCTGCGACGATCCAGGGCTTCGAGGCAAATTACGAGTGCCTTGGAGAAAGGGGAGAGGTGCACGTACCAAGCTGGTTGCACCCAGAGCCACTGGCTGAAAGCCGATTCGGGTAAATCAGGGTACCCGCTTTTGGTAGATATGTGTTGGGTTTTGAAGACCATTTTTCACGTTGGGTTCCAATTTGTTTGATCACGCTACGCAGGTCTTTGGTTCCAATTGTCCAGGTATAATTTGGTACTTGTTTTGAGCCACAGCCAGTTTTTGTTTTTTCAAAATCGGGAACCCCCCGCCCCCCTGTAGTCAGGCCAGATGAACCTTGGAACTGGATGTGCCCCCACCCCCCCCCCCCCCAAACCTTTGGCCATATGATGCTACCTGGCTTCTTTTTTTTTTTTTCCGGTTGGACTCTCCGAAAACGGCTTTTGTGTTCCTTTTGATTTTCCTTCACCACAAAACAACAACAAGAGCACCTAGAGTCTCCATGACCCTTTGAAAATGCGAGCACTACCTAGAATCATGGGGTCATGGACTTCTTTTTAAAGGGTCGTGGAGACTCCAGGCAGGGGTACCCACTCCAAAGACACCCAACTTTGAGCCTTACCCACGTAGAACCCAAAGTCACCGGTGCCGCTTCCGCTTGCGCCGCTTGCGCCCGCTTTTTCCGAGGCACTTCTCAAAGACACGGGTGAACTACGGCGTGAGTGCCTGAGCTTGGGGAGATGGAGCCGTTCCCTTTTTTTCCCATTTGCTGGAGAATGTTGACCCAGGATCTAAGTAGAACCCGTCCCATTAGGGGGGCGTTCCCTCCAAAAGTGATGGTAATTCCCACAAGGGGACACCCCCCAATCAAGAGCAACCAGGGGTTTATTAATCCGGGGTTAACATTAATGTTGACCCCTGTGGATGGTTGCGAAATCCATGCAACGCACCAAATAAGAAACCCTGGTTTCTGATGCTTCCCCTGTAAATACCAACAAGCAATGTTTTGCCCTGGCTGCCCAGTGGTGCAGGATTTCGTCCATCCACATTATGAATCTCAAGCAACCACGATTCTGTGGACCCCATATGGGTGTGGTTGTCAAAACCCATTTAATTTTGACCCACACCCATATGAATCTCAAGCAACCACGATTGTGGATTTAGTGGTTGGAATTAAACCACTTTTGGAGGGGCCCCCAAACTGGGGTTGATCAATTTGGGGGAACACTATCTGGACTGTCAAAGGATCGATTTCTTTTTGCTGCCTTACCACTTGTTTATGGGCCAAGGCAGGGGAGGTAGTCTTTGCCATGTGTATTTGATCAAAATACAGAACCCAGCAAACCAGAGGTTTTCCATACACCAGGCAGTTGTAGTTTGGCGTGGGACCTCGGCGCAAACCACTTTTCGGCGGAGCTACCAAAAACCGAAAGCTGCGATTGAGAAAAGACCAAAGACCAATCCAAGCACGTGAGAACATTGCGGTTGTGTCTTTTTTCAAGGTTGGACCCCCAAATTGTCCCTTTAAACACCAACAAAAACGGGGTTACATGTGGTGTGGTGTTGTTTTCAGGTTGGACTGCCCAAAATCCCGTGGTTTTCCTTTTGGGGCTTCCCTTTGCCAACCCAAAAATTGGTGGTTCAAACCACCAGTGGTTCCCCTCCCAAGAAAACACGCCCGTGAGCCTCCAATTGCCAAGGGAAGGACACCCAACGGAAGTTCAGCGGCCCATGGTTTGTGCCTAAAGTTGCTTTCCGCTTTGTTCAGCCACTGTTGCTGTTTTTTTTTTGGTAAAGTGGATGGAAAAAAGCAGCCCCTGGCGATCCAGGTGGTTGGTTTGCTGGCAATTTTGAGTTGGCATCCACCGTAACCAGGCATTGGTGTCTTAGTCTTGCAGCCACCGTGCTCGCTTGCGCATGGCGGACCAACAGTTTAGTCACTTTCTTCTGGCCGATCCACGCGATCGGAAGTGAGGGATAAGTTAGGGAATGATCTGGGCGTGTCTCTTTTCAGACCCCCTAAAATCTGTGTGGCTGGTTGGATCTTTGGTTTTTTTTTCTGAAAGCATAAGCCATTCGCCCTCGAGGACCCGGATGTCCGCCCGCTCTTCCTGAAGAAGCCCAAGGCCCTGAAGCTCCGGTCCCCCCGTTTGCGGGGAGGGGAGTGTGTGGATGGTTGGACTTGAAGCCAAACGGAAGGGACGCCAAAAGGGGCTTAAAGGGTTTAAAAGGGTTGTAGGGCAGGGAAGCCGCGTTTTTTCGGGTTAAACGAAGGGAAACCAAAAGGACTCTCCATACAGGTTCGTGTGGACCCCGAAAGGCCAACCCTGTTCGCTCCCAGATTCTCTGGGGGTTGGCTTAAGGTTAAAGCGGACACTCTTTTGGAGGGACGGCGTTCCAGCTAGCCTCGGGTGTTCCCAGCTTCCCTCGTTTGGTGGTTGGACAGGTGGTTTCTCATTTCCCCTGCACAAGGCCTGTATTGACAGAACCGGGAGTAATAGCAAGGGGAAAAATTCCCATTGGGTTGACATGAGCCACGGACAAAACACACGAAGACCACTTTATCAAGGCGGGGTACGTTTTTGCATAACACATGCCAAAACCATGGAAAACGATAAGGTCTCCCCCAAAAACGATAACCCTTAGCTAACACACGGCTCTATAATAACCCCTGCAGTTGCAACCCTTGCGTGGCCACCGTAAAACGAGAAGGCAAGTCGCCACTTTCGAGCTGGAGCTGCCAAGTTGTGCTTCGTAAATACGACACTTGAGAAGTTGCGATTTTCGAGCTGGAGCTGCGGAAGTGTACTTCGCGTACTAGACTTGCACGACAAAGTTGCGATTTTCGAGCTGGAGATGCGGAAGTGTACTTCTCGTACTAGACTTGTACTACAAAGTTGCGATTTTCGAGCTGGAGATGCGGAAGTGTACTTCGCTTACTAGACTTGTACTGCAAAGTTGTGATTTTCGAGCTGGAGATTCGGAAGTGTACTTCGCGTACTAGACTTGTACTTCAAAGTTGCGATTTTCGAGCTGGAGCTGCGGAAGTGTACTTCGCGTACTACACTTGTACTACCAACTTGCGATTTTCGAGATGCGGAAGTGCACTTCGCGTACTAGGATTGCACTACAAAGTTGCGATTCTCGAGCAGGAGCTGCGGAAGTGTACTTCGCGTACTAGACTTGTACCACAAAGTTGCGATTTTCGAGCTGGAGCTGCGGAAGTGTACTTCGCGTACTAGACTTGTACTACAAAGTTGCGATTTTCGAGCTGGAGCTGCGGAAGTGTACTTTGAGTACTAGGCTTGTGCAAAGTTTCGAGCTGGAGATGCGGAAGTGTACTTCGCGTACTAGACTTGTACTACAAAGTTGCGATTTTCGAGCTGGAGATGCGGAAGTGTACTTCGCGTGCTAGACTTGTACTACAAAGTTGCGATTTTCGAGCTGGAGCTGCGGAAGTGTACTTCGCGTACTAGACTTGTGCTGCAAAGTTTCGTTTTTCGAGCTGGAGCGCTGTGGAAGTGTACTTCCCGTACTAGACATGTACTACAAAGTTGCGATACTTCGCGTACTAGACTTGTGCTACAAAGTTTCGTTTTTCGAGCTGGAGCTGCGGAAGGGACTAGACTTGTGCTACAAAGTTGCGATTTTCGAGCTGGAGCTGCGGAAGTGTACTTCGCGTACTAGACTTGTACTACAAAGTTGCGATTTTCGAGCTGGAGCGCTGTGGAAGTGTACTTCCCGTACTAGACTTGTACTACAAAGTTGCGATACTTCGCGTACTAGACTTGTGCTACAAAGTTGCGATTTTCGAGCTGGAGCGCTGTGGAAGTGTACTTCGCGTACTAGACTTGTACTACAAAGTTGCGATTTTCGAGCTGGAGCTGCGGAAGTTTACTTCGCGTACTAGACTTGTACTACAAAGTTGCGACTCTCGAGCTGGAGCTGCGGAAGTGTACTTCGTGTACTAGACTTGTACTACAAAGTTGCGATACTTCGCGTACTAGACTTGTGCTACAAAGTTTCGCTTTTCGAGCTGGAGCTGCGGAAGTGTACTTCGCGGACTAGACTTGTGCTACAAAGTTTCGATTTTCGAGCTGGAGCTGCGGAAGTGTACTTCGCGTACTAGACTTGTACTACAAAGTTGCGATTTTCGAGCTGAAGCGCTGCGGAAGTGTACAGTTGCGATACTTCGCGTACTAGACTTGTGCTACAAAGTTGCGCTTTTCGAGCTGGAGCGCTGTGGAAGTGTACTTCCCGTACTAGACTTGTACTACAAAGTTGCGATTTTCGAGCTGGAGCTGCGGAAGTTTACTTCGCGTACTAGACTTGTGCTACAAAGTTGCGATTTCGAGCTGGAGCTGTGGAAGTGTACTTCCCGTACTAGACTTGTACTACAAAGTTGCGATTTTCGAGCTGGAGCTGCGGAAGTTTACTTCGCGTACTAGACTTGTACTACAAAGTTGCGATTTCGAGCTGGAGCTGCGGAAGTGTACTTCGCGTACTAGACTTGTACTACAAAGTTGCGATTTTCGAGCTGGAGCTGCGGAAGTGTACTTCGCGTACTAGACTTGTACTACAAAGTTGCGATTTTCGAGCTGGAGATGCGGAAAACTGTACTTCGCGTACTACTACAAAGTTGCGATTTTCGAGCTGGAGCTGCGGAAGTGTACTTCGCGTACTAGACTTGTACTACAAAGTTGTGATTTTCGAGCTGGAGATGCGGAAGTGTACTTCGCGTACTAGGCTTGTACTACAAAGTTGCGATTTTCGAGCTGGAGATTCGGAAGTGTACTTCTCGTTCTAGACTGGTACTACAAAGTTGCGATTTTCGAGCTGGAGATGCGGAAGTGTACTTCGCGTACTAGACTTGTACTACAAAGTTGCGATTTTCGAGCCGGATGTGCCAAAGTTTGAAAACACTGTAAAACGATAAGGTCTCCCCCAAAAACGATAACGTTCAAAAAAGTACTAGGGCCAAGTAAAGTGTTTCGTCCGCTCCTCACATGTTTGTCTAAAAGAAGCCATCCGGCAAAGAATGCCAACCTCGGAAAAGGATGAGGAACAGGCCCAAAGTTCAGCCCAGTGACACGCTCATAATTTTGTCTGAGATTTGCGTGAGTCGACTCCCCTCTGGCAAGCTTGTTGTGAAGAGAAATGGTCCTGATTTCTTCTAAAAGTCACGAACATGACTTGCATCCCACCTTCACTTTCACCAAAGCTTGTGTGCGTCTACTAAGCTTAGCAGGAGAGGTCACATTTGCTGACATGGAGTTTTTTTCATAAAATCTCGGCAAATACTTCCTTGGGCCTCTAACCCAAGTTGTGCGCTCGCACCCGTCTTGGAAACCCCACTTGGCCCTCTGGGCGCCCTGAAAGGTCAGTTTCTGTGACGCTGTCAAAGCTCCTCTATTGGGTACGGCCAACAATGCCAGCTACAGCCAGCATGTGTGTTTTGTTGTGTTTTTTCCGGTTGCGAGACCTTGGCCCATGCGGAGTTTTGACACACGCAGACACGGATCATCGTGAACTTCATTCAATTTGAAGGGGGCTCTAGTTTCGACACACGCACAGAGCCACATGATGCTGAATAGCGGGAGCTTTGAATGCGATGAAAAAGGCGATACTCATTCTCAACATTGCTTGCTTGCTTGCCTGCCTGGTTGCTGGGTTGGTTGGGCGGTTGCTTTTGTTTGCTGGTTGTGTGTTTTGTGGATTGGGTTGCTTGGTTCCCGAACCCCTGTCTGTTTGATTCCCGGTGTGCGAACACATGTTTCGCACGATGCCTGGTGGATTTCTGGTTGGTCGATTAGTTGGTGGTTTCCTTGGTAGGGGCAGCTAAAATGCCGGATCCTGTGCTGCATGCTGCATGGCCAGTAAGTTTGCTTCGGTCTGGCTTGGTATTGGATTGAAGCTGCTTTATGAGATTTACTTGGATTGGTTTGATTGGCTGAGATCGCATAAGGATTTGAGGCAAAGTTTGATTGGGCTGTGAGCCGGCTAAGGGCTGGCTATTTTGAAGCAAGGGCTTTGTGGAAGCGAATTGGGGTTCTTTAAATTGGATGTTGTTCTTTTTGTTGAGTGGGTACCCATCCTTTTTGTTGATAGTTGATTTTTTAGTTGGTACCCTTTTTGTGGTAGGTTTGAAAGGGACACCAACAACAACATAATGTTGTGTTTGTTTTGTTTTCTGGGGAGGGGGGGGTCGCGGACAAAAACAGTTTCAGCGGTTGTCAAAGTAATTGTTGACCGTTTGGGCATGCGACTCAACATCGGGGGTAATGTTTACTGAGGAATCACAAACGGATGTGGAATGAAATGAGAGCACCTGGACAAAAGACAAGCACCCACCCCGGGCAACCCAACAAGCAACAAACTAAACACACAAAAAAAAAAAACAAGAAAAACAAAAGCACACAAAAAACACATAGTTTGAGGCTGCTCCCAAAACAGTTCCCCAAATTTCAGGTTTTCGTACATGTCTCTTGTTTACAATCTGTTCATAATCAAACCCACAAAGGAGGAAGTACTTCGGGCCCCGAATTTGACTTTATTTTAGGGGCCCTTAGAATAACATGTTGTTGCCTAGCCCTGCAAAACTACAATTTGACCAGTGTAGTTGCTTTTTGGCTAGTAAAGCAAGTAGACAGGTGATGCTGGTGAAGTTTCAGGGATTGAAATGGAAACGCAAGCCCCTCAATGCAACCAAATTAAAACACCAGTTTTAAAAGGAAGTTGCAGCAATGCTAAATCAAATGGACACGCAAGTCCACCAATACCAAATCAATTGGAGATTCAGTTCCAAATCTCAACAGGAAACTCCAGCAATATTGAATATGATTCTAAATCAAATAGAAGCTTAGTTCCAAATCTCCAAAGGAAGCTCCAGTAGTACCAATCAAATGGAAACTCAATTCCAAATCTCAAAAGGAAGTTCCAGCAATACTAAATCCCATGGAAACTCAAGTCCACCATTAAGTCAATTGCAAACTTATTTGAGCTGGACGTTATTCTGGATGCCGCTTGTTCGTTGACCCGGCGCCCTTTACAAATCTCCAGTGGAAATTAATTACCACAAACAGAGATTTCAGTTTTCCTTTTGGCAATCCACTCGGAGAAAAAAAAACGGTTGTTTCCGGACGTCCCCCCCTTTTTTTGGTCCCCGCAGGCAGTCAAGACGCGCAGCCTCCGCAAGCAGCTTTGCCGAGTTTTGCTGTGTAGAACCACTGTCGATTCGTTCTCTACCTTGGTCGCTCAAAAGACCACCTTTGGGGTTGATACTGTGGATGGACGAAATCTTGCACCACTTTGAAACCACGGGAAACCATGGTATGTTGGTATTTACAGGGGAATCATTCTAGAGTTTCTTGGGTGGTGCAGGATTTTGTCCATCCACAGTAGGGACGGTTGTCAGCCTACTTCTTCCATTTGCTTAACAGTGTTTATGTTCTCCCTTGTTTGTGTTAAATGGAATCTATCACTACTGGATTTGTTTTTTTCTTTTTCTCCGGGCGGTTTGAGCAAATGGAAGACTTGCTCACTCCCTGAGTTCCGGAAGCGTCACTGGGGTTTGGATGGGTTTGGACCATTTTGGGTGGCAACGAGTTCAGACTTTCTTTGGCCTATCCACATCGGAGGTGTCTCTTCTTTGCAAAGACGACATTCCTTGTGGACAGGGGGCAACTGACAATCAGGGTAGTCTAGAGTTGACATATGGAATAACCTTTGTCCTCTTGAGGAAACAAGTCTTGCATTTTTTTATATTTACTTTTTTAATATTCTGGGGTTCACAAATCCTTGTTCCTTCAAAGGGCGGCTCCTCCCTTTGAAGTAGCCAGAAGCTGGCTTCGAAGTAGCCAGAAGCGGTCCCCTCTCATTTGCGCAGCTGGATGCACGGACATCAATGCCAGAGTTACAGCAACCGGTCGCATTTTTTGAAGTTTTGATCAAAATAGGGAGTTCCGTCCCCTCCGCCCGCCACAAACAACATGTTGGGTTGCCAGTGGGGGGGGGGGGTTGCCCGGACCGAATGACGGTCTCTCTTGGACATGGGTTGGGAATTGTGCAAATCCTATGCGGATAGCACCAACTTCGCGTATTCGAATCTCAGATGGCAGCCGCACCATTCTCATTTGCTCGCAGCAGGCTCCAGGACTGTGGCTTGATTCTCTTAGTGAGAGACCTTCAGAATGCCACCAACACTTTCATGCAGCTGTCCAGGCCGTGCTGCCTTGTATATGCGAAGCAGACAAGTCATGAGCTGCGCTGATAACTTGCTGGCAGAACTTCCGTTCCTGCTTGGTACTGAGAGCGCAGCGGAGACAAAAAGACCAGCATTCGGGAACGTACGCAAGAAGACCCCAAGCCCTCTTAGACACCAGGTGTCTAAAACCACTTGCGGAGATAAGCCAATGGGACTGCGCAGTCGTGCAGACGCAGAGAGCGGAGAAGTCACATGGCGTGTGGGGCTGGGGGGTTGTGATCGACTAGTTTGAAAAAAAGGCTGCTGGAAGCATGGACCCGTGTTCTTTCCATTCCCCTCCCCGTTCCCTCCCCCCCCTGCTCAACAGCCACGAACACGCTGAGGATCGGCATGCGCGGGGCAGCATAAAGTCCGGGCAAACCCCCCCGTCAACCCAACATGTTCTTTGTTTTTGTTTTTAATAATGTTGGGTTGTATTTGGTTTAACCTCGAAAGTTACCATCAGCTGGCCAGATTTGGTTCAGGTGTCTCAGTCTGGTCCAAGCATCCATACAGAGACTACGCCAGGCGACAGCCATCAAGCAACAAGTAACAGCCTGTAATTTGACTTAATGCTGTTTTTGCCCGGCTGGTTTGCTTGCAACATTTTTGCACGCTTGCCTCCAAACTTTCATTTTTCACCCCATACCTCCAAACCGCGTCCTGCACTGATGACTAGCCGGGCGTGTCTTACGCTCATGAGGAATCAAATATCCAAAAGAAGGTCCTGTGGATTTGCGGTTTGGGGACTTTTCGGATGGACTCAAGAATGTGCAGGAAACCCTCTATGTTTGGGGTCCCCTAAACGAAGTCACCCAATTGGAAGGATGCTGAAAGCTGCCATTCCAAAGCTATGGGCTTTCTTAGGCTGGGGACACAAAGGGTCACATACGCATCATTCTGCATAAATTACCGCAAGCTCGCCGATCCGGAGGGTAAAGCGAGCTCACCACGGTCACCGCGGTAAAGATCCTTTACTTAGGGATTCCTCATTTCAGGTTGTGTAAAACATGCAGATCATTTAGCGAGCATATGTCCACCAACCATTCTGAAGGAGTTCTTAAGAAACATTCTTCATAGCCGTCTGCGTTTCTGTTTGGATTTGTTTGGGGCTTCTTTTGAAGTTCCAGAGGAAACTTGCCAAGGGCCAACTTGCACACCCCAGATGAACATGCCCCAAAATGAGTGGTTTTGCACAGGCTTTATAGGCTCCGTGACAAATCCTTGGCGTGGCGGATCAGGCTGAGGCAAGAGCGCAGCAGCCACAATTTCGCGCTGACTTTCCGTGAGCTCCCTCGCACGGAGGGGATCCTCTAGAGATTGTATGAATCTTGCGGCGGCTTGGCGACTCGGCGAGCGTCGCGGCGACTGTCGCACTGCAGTGTCTTGCAGTTTTGCCCGCGACACGTGGCTCGGCCAGAAGCTGGTGGCGCAAGGCGCAAGGTCTATGATTGGGAGGGGCTCCCAATGTTCAACTCTCCTTGGCATCAGGCAACTTTAGCTAAATCTCGGAGGCGCACCCATCAAGAGTGGCTCCCATCTAGTCAATCACCAAGTGCTCCGGATGAGTCCGAAGTTAGCATGAATCAACCAAGTTGCTTCGTAGCAATCACTTTGCGCAGATACAGAAAACAGATGAACATAGATGGCGCAAGTGTTTCGTTCTTCAGGGCCCGCTAGGTAAGCATCCGTTTCCCGGATTTGCATCATGACAAGGCATACATTGTTGTCCACCGTGGCCCTTTCTTGATTGCTATTGGATCTTTAGACTTTGACTCTGGGGCAATCATCAGTTTTGTCGAGGAGCCTTTCTCCTAACTGGTCTGGAAAATATGAGCATGATCTATCCCTCTTAGGGGGTGGGCGTGGCCAGGCGGAAACCAGCCTTTTTCCCTCTGCAAATGAACATGGAGCCCAAAAAACCTCAAGAAACGGCTCCTTTCAACCTTTTGGACTCCCTGATTTGGCAACCATATTTAGTCATGGCCTTCAAAGCTTTGCCTTGAATTTCTGGGCCCCCAAGGGCAGCTGAGTTATTTCTAGAGTTGTCGGCTTATGGTCGTCATTTGGAAACCATATGTAATTAGTCAAGGTTCTAAAAGGTTACCTTGAGTACATCGCTGAGATTTGCACTCTTGAGTATTCCATATGTAGCCCTTTGGTTCCAAAAGACTATTATGGTGGTCCTAAAAGGAATGGAGCCAAAAGAAGACTCTATGGTGGTCTCTACTGTTTTGCATAAATAAGCTGTATATTCAACATGCTCCAGGTCTTTGAGAAATTTCCCGTGCTCTCGGCTCTCTTCAGCCTTCCGTTCTGTGCCAGGCCTCCAGGCCTCGAGGCAGTCCAGGCGACCGATTTCAAGAAATGGGGTGCGACAGCATGTCACGCACACAAACACACGAGAATCATCAAGCCACAAGCAAGAAAGTCACGACGATGCGCTTGAGTTGAGAAGTCATCAGTCATCCCGAGTGCGAAAAAAGCTTTTGGTAAGTGGACGTTTGTTTGTCTGCCATGGTGAAACGCAACATCAAGAAGCCGACCATTTACCTTAGGTCGTTCGACCGAAATCTCTTTTAGACTTACGATGGTTTCTGTCAGTCACAGCCTCACGATCGTTTCCTTTTCAACAGTTACCTGCCGCAACCAGTCAGCCCTCCCTTCGACTCTTTTCTTCCAGGGTTCAGGTAAAGAACCCCAACCCAGACCTCCCGCCCCCATCCTTATCAAGAGCTTGTGGCGGGGGTTCTTTGCCAAAAACGCCAAGCTCTTTCACCTGGATTTCGGGAACAAATGGCGCGAACATCAAAATAGCTGGCAAATGGATGTTCATCCACCCCAGAATGGAGCCATAAGTTATGGCCCATGGCCAGATGGAGACAGGTTGTTTGTTCGGCCGGTTGGTTTTGAAGAGAAGCTCACCGTTTTCTTGACCACTGAACGGGCCTTTACAAAAACAACAGGTCCAGAAACTCAGGGAGTGAGAAGAAACACCCAAACAAGCTCAAGTCCAAGCTCTTCGTTTACCGACATGGTCCAGGCGAAAAGCCTACGGACGCACGAAGGCCAATCAGGTGTTTGCCCAGCGCCGTTTCCTAAGAGGGTGGATTGGGACTGGCAGGCGAGTGCCACTGCTTCAGCGTCCTGAGTAGAAATCCGCAGAGTAGACAGAACTTCACTGTTCAAGTTGGTTGTTTGTTTTTTGTTTTTTTTGCTTCTGTTCGCTGCAAAGCGTAAAGTTTCTTGTGGCATGAAGATCCAAGCCCAGAGGCGCAACAATTCCTCCAAGTGTCCTTGGGTCGCAAGCGGCTTCCGGCAGGCGGAGATGAATCTGCCAGGTGCGCTTCGACGAATTGGTTGGCATTGGTTTCTCAAAACGTGCGAGAGATGCAGGGAATGAGACATGGCTATGGTGGTCAAAACCGTTTTGGGATCCCATTTTGGTTGGTAGGTGAATTCACCATCCATTTTAGAACCTATTTTAGTGGCGATTGGGATGTTCACTGGGGGGTACGATTTGGATTGACCAAATGGAATGACCCCCAAGAACCATCCCTGCTTGGTTTCAGGACTCCCGAAACGGTTCATTCCATTTCACATTCCCTACCGATTTCGCACCAAGAAAGTCGGGAACGATGAACACATCACAAAGTGGGACCGTTGCCTGAAAAAGGAAATTTGAGCCAAACGGAATCAATGGGTTTGGACAAGCACGTATCACTTTGACGGGTGAAGTCGAAGCTTTAAATTTCATGAAGCTCATGAATGTTGACCCCATATTTGTCAACCCCATATTTCTTGTTTCGGGGGTGGGAGCCCCTCCAAAAGTGATGATTCCCCACGAAACCCAGCACACCCCCTTGTTAACAAACAGAAGGGCTTATAAACTAGGGTTGATTAATATGACGTCAACATTAATTGAAATTCAAGTGACGTTAACGTACCCTCTACTCCCCTGCACATTAACATCAAACCCACGAACTCATGGTTTGTAGAGGGGGAGTACTTGTTCCTTTTAAACATCATCTTGCCAGAAGCAAACTCATTCTGAAATGTTTCTGAATTTCAATATCGGGTGACCAAATGAATTCTCACAAATGGCTTCCAGGAAGCTACGCGCACGATTAGGGTCACCTGACTAGCAAACCACTATCCCCATCTGACTGATGTCCACCAAAGGCCCCTATGAACATTTACAGCCAAATGCACCAGACGAAGGCAATGTTTGGTCACTAGCATTTTTGCCTGATTGATGGACCGGCAGATTATTGGCATAGCTTGCTTCGTGGGTGAACCAAGCTAAACCTGCTTGAAGCGTTTAGGCGGGGGAGCTGCGAATCGGTGTAGGATGAATAGCCCTAGTCGTAACTGGCTAATCTTCCCAGTTAATAATAAGACCCCCCAGCAAGGTCTAATCTAGACCAGCTGGACATAGTGGACTTGACTGGGTGGTTTTCTTGACATCATTTAGGTGCTGTTTCATGTCCGCCCCGTTCGAATTCACAACCTGGGAATGTTAGCCACGTGGGGTGGTCATCCGTTTGTGACCGGCTTCTCATGCAGGCGTCAACCAGCGGGTGGAGGCAGGTTGAAGCCGTGCGATTCGAATTTGCAGCGTCCCAGTTGGGTACGGGTCAAAATTTGACCACTAAAGGACCGAAGGTTTGAGTCCATGTTTTCATTTGCAAGGGTTCCATTTTAGGTACCTATTTTTGACCAGCGGCCATTTGAACATTTGTACCTTGCAAGGTTTAGGGCACATGCCAAACCGGAAAGGAAAAGACGTGCCCAGGAAAGGGCCACTCAGTAGCAAGATCGGCCGTGTTGAAGAGCATCAGTTTGAATGGACACGTGAGTGGCGGTTTATTTTTCCGCTCAAGTAAACTTGTATAGATGTTGACATATCAACAAAAAATGTGGCGCCGCACTGCAGTCGCGGAAGGTTCGCGGAAGGTTTGCGGGATGTTTTTTCCCCGCGGAAGCTCGCAGAAGGGACCCTTTGATTTGCACATAGTAGTTTGATTTCGGTTGGGGGGTTGTTGCCAAGCACGTTTACCAGCAAACCGTAGGCACGAATTCCCTGGCGGAAGCTACCTTCCTCAGTTTCCAGAAGCAACTTGCCTGCGGAAGGCCCGCGGAAGCACTTACACAAACTTATGTAGAAACATGCTTGCGGAAAGTACCCTTCACAGCGCGGAAGCATCGCGGAAGGGCTTGATACGTCAATGCAAATTTAAAAGGAATAAACAAGTCACCACCCACGTGTTTTCCGTTTCGGTGGATAGCGGTGGCTTGGGGATTTGAACCCTTGTCTTTTTGAGTCCAAGGGGGTTTTGGTACCCCCTAAGGCCGATATTTGGGGGACTGTATGTCTTATGCCCAACAGCGCACCCCCGTGGTGCAACCAATGTGTAGCACGCGCTTCCCCGGCGCATTTGGGCACTGCTTAGGTGTTCCCTGCTCAGACCTGTCTCATTCTTTGTCAAAGCTGCGCATCCCCAGGACTGTATGCAGAGAGATCCCGCTAGGTTCAACACATTCTGCGCTAAAGGGGGGACGTCCCTGACTAGTATGGTCCGGACGAATTCGACATTGACATTGACCCAACGCCCAGTGGTTTCCTCGTTTCTTTTTCCTTTCAGAAACAACCACCCATAAAAGGTGGGACTTTTTGTGGAAGTCTAGGGGTCTGGGTCTAGATGCTGCCTTCAGAGCTATCCCCCTCCTTGCCCCCCCCCCGTACTTTGAAGACGCTTTGAAGTGAAGGTTCTCTTTCAATGTGTTGTCAAGCCATCTATTGACTCGCTTTCCCCTTCGGCGAATCGACCGGATCTGACCTTTTCTCACTGTTTGACTTCCTGGACTCTAAACATTTTGTCAGAAGACCATTCTAGTCGTAAATAAGAAGAGATGGACTTTTTTGGCCAGTCCACTCTTGGGTGCCCATGTTTAGTGGCCCCAACACGTGATCACCTTTCATTTCCGGGTCCCATAGGAGCAAGTTGGGTTCTTGGACAGGGGCCCTTCTGGAAGCCCCAGCGGAGAAGTGCCAGCACGTGTTGTCTGGAGCCTGGAGAAGGATGCCAAGGTTCCATTCCTCCAGCAATCTGACACACACATAACCACGGCATCTCAATATGCCTGCAGATGTTTACCGAGGCGCTGCAGCAGGAGCAGGCATGGCATGCACAGATATCACCAAGAACCTTGTGAAGAACGCTGCGCGATCTGCAGTTCAGTGGCACGCCAACGATCATCAGCCCCAGAAAGGGGTGATCCTGTTCTATCTGGATCACTGGGCAACGGGGAAGGGTCAACCAATGACGCCATTTAGACGAACCCTTATTCCAACTTCTGTACTGGAGGACCTAGTAGATGTTGATTTAGTTCGATGGTTTTCTTCCACATTGAGTTTGGCCCTTTTGGAACCCCCTTGAACACCGTTCGGGCGGGATCCGAGCACACCTTTAGTCATCGAGCTTAGGGCCAATGAAGCAGAACACGCTTGAAGGATTGGTGTGCTTGACCCAAGAAATCAGGGGGTAAGTGGCAAGGCTGTGAACAAGGTCTTGGTGGTTCCCAGCCGTGCGGTCCCTTTGGCTTTTAGTTGCTTTTACATGCAACCCACAAGCTAACGTCAAGCAGGGCCCTTGCCAAACTCTTGGGCTCTACATCAAAGAATCAAAGAAGCTGCTGGCGCAATCATGGAACTTTTGTGCGCGGTAGGTGCAAGCGCCCTAGGGGCTTCTTTTTGGTTCTCTACGGCTGTATCTATGAGCATGGACACGTGTCAAGTCTATTTTGCGACCCGAAAAGAATCACCCTCAACAGTTGCAAAATTGACCCTCCGCGACCATGGTTGAAATGAAACGGCCATTGTGGGTTTCTCTTTTCTTGGGAAAATCCCTGGCTGTTCAACTGGGTGCGCACCTCGCCCTTCTGATGCTCCCGAAATAACACATTTCCCAGACCCAAGTGGCTAAGCCCCCTTCCCGGCATTGTTCAATCGAAAAGGGCATGTTGGCATGTGTTCAACCACCCAGACGCGCAAAGCGACCAACTGCCAGGGTGGCTGCTTTTGTCCCTTTTGCGGTGCCAGGACGGGAAGAGAAGAGTGGGGTGGGGGGGGCTTAGGACCAGTTTTTGGTGAGCGGCCAAAATTGACCAGTTTTGTGAGTGGCCAGTTTTTTGTAGTGAGTGGCCAGTTTTTTGCGAGTTTCTTGTGCGTGGGCTTTTTGCCCCTAAAAAGCAGTGACGAATGTAGTCATGGAACATGGGCGCCCCACTGCCAGCAATCGGCTGGAGGTCAAATCAGTCTTTTGGTTTAGGCCCAGTGGATCCCAGTTCCCGCAGTTCGCCCTACTAAAATAGACAATCGAAAAAACAAAAAAATAGTCTTAGTCTAACCTCTCTACTGGAGGACCTGGCAGTTTCCACTATAGTGGCCACCCCCTTCGTCAGTTTTCCTCTCTTTAAAGGGTGGCACGCCCTTAGTTTCCTGCAAAACCGGGGGTAAATGGATCCATGAAGGTTCCCAAGGATGATCGCCCAGTTGATTTCTGGGCTGGGCAGATCTCAGCTTTGTTTTCCTCATTTGGTCAAGTTCCATATTTTGTCAAGGTTCCAATGGTGAACCTTTCGGCTTTTTGGGTCTTATGGTATTTTTTGTTTAGGAAAACCCGGGTTTTCCAGATTTCGTAGCTCCTTTGCAGGACAGGGTTGCCATGTGGGGGTGTCTTGTTTTGAGGTTTGGATTTCATGTGTGGGCAAAAAGAGAGAGACGCCCATGTGCCTTTTGGGCTTACTGAGATGTTTCCTGTCAACATTCCAGCTAGCAAGAGAACATGTGTGTTTTTGCACCGAGCCTCAGGCTAAGCAGAGATTAGTGGTCACTTCCCCGTCCCTAAAATACGTTGATCCTCATAAGGCCGTTTTTGCGGGAGAGGGTCAAGCAGGGTTTGCGATCATCCGCTTTGTGTCGGGTATCGTGGTTGCCTCAAAGTTGATGGACACAATCCAGCAACTGGTAACCGGTTGATCCCAGTATTCCTATAAGGTTCCGTTCATCCCCTCTGTTGCGAAGCGGATTGTGCCCATCAGTATTGCAACTAGAGTAACAATACTCTTGCCGTAATTTACCGTTGTGGTTTGATATGGTTGGTCCGCTTGTATTGTTTGTGGGCATTTGGCGTACCATGCAAGCCATATCCTGGTTACAACCTGCTTGAATTGGGTCTTCTCCAGCAAATGTTGCAGTTTAGGCTAAACTCAATATGAAATAGAGCCCCCAAGGTCTTTTCCTGGCCAACGCACGTAGGAAGTTTCGCAGATGCGGGCCAAGTTAAAAACCAAAGCCATTGACCAGGTCCGAGCTTGGCCCCACACCGCACGGTCACCGTGGTTCGAACGGAAAAAATGTAAAACAGTTTCTTTTAGGGTCGTAGGCCCAAAATGATTTCGGTTTAACTGTTGGTGTCCTTTGCCAACCACAGAAAAGGGGAACCGAGCACAAAAAAGACACACCCAAATGGTCTTGACCACAGATTCGTCAACCTGTCGGAGCAATAGGGGGGTGCTCCCCGCAAAAGTGAGGATCCCTTCTAACATGGAAATCAGGCTGATAATCCTGGGTACTCGGGAGCAAAACGATGACGTAGGTCCTCTACTTGGGGATCCCATGAATCCCATGTTTCTGGTTTTGAAAGATTGGACCAATGCACATGATAGCGTATATGTGTATACGTACCTTTATAGCACGATGTTTTTGGGTGAAACCGGGTACTTGCTGGAAAGTTCATGACTCAACCCGAACAAGCTAGGCCCCGGAAGGACATCTCAATGATGCTCGAACAACAGCTGTTTACATACTTACCCCGAAGCCGGGCATAGCTTTTGATTTTTCAAGTTTGGTCTTTTGTCGAGGTTCTAGAGGGCCAGCCTTTTATTTCTAGGTCCTGTACATGGCCAGCCAGTACCTCCCGTCATCCAAGCTGAGCGGAGGGTTTTGGCATTTGGGAAGTTTCCGGATCTTCCACTTTGACTGTTGGCAAGACTCGTAAGCAACAGTTTGGCTGCTTGTTTTGGCCCATGCACTCGATCGGAAGGGAGACAAGGGTAGTTTCCTCAAAAACGTCGAGGCACCAGCCAAGCGCAAATTGATCTATGGCTAATTGGTTGGATCTTTGGACTTAGCTTTGCGGGACATGCTGGAGGAGTCCATTTAGGCGGCAACATTGGTTAACTACCAATTGACTTGTTTTGGTTTTGGTTTTGTAGATGCCAATTTGTGTCTTCATTGGATTCGAACCATTTTAGCGGCAACAAGTCCACAAGTTTGGCTACCATGTTGCTGCCACTTGACCTGTTTTGGGGTTTTCTAGATGCTGACGTCCTTCACCGGGCCGACGGCGAATGACCCGCTGACGCGTCAGCCGCGCCGAGGCGGGGGCCCAGCTTCATGTTCTGCCAGAGCTGCGGGAGGCCAAGCCGTGGCGAAAGCGGAGTCCTCGCGCCCGCCGCAAACGTCGCCCCGTTTTTATACTTTTGTGGTTTATGCTCTTCTTAAAGGGGCAGGGTACTTAGTAAGTGGGTAGTAACCATGGTTACTAATCCACTTATCACAATTATAAGTCTCCTAAGTGGCTTACAACCATGGTTACTCTCACCTGTGAAAGTCGTTGCGTTTGGTTTTGGCAGCATGTTTTTCGTGTAATACGCACACGAAACGCATCCGGTAGGCCAGTGGCGTTTGGTTTAGCATGTTTTCAAGAGACAATTGCTGCGTGATATTGAGGTCTTTTTTGTAGAGAAATACATGCTGAACGTGGTCCCCTGAGATGGTTTCATTGATCAAGTTGAGGTTTTTTGGGTAGGCCGAACGCACTGGCACACATGGAAAACACCTTCCCTCGATCGCGGTTTGTGTTGGTGATGTTGAGGCATTTTGGGTGGCCAATCGCATTGGCACACGCCTGAAAAAACACTTACTGGGTCCTTGTGGTTACACGCCCCGCAAGCCATGATCTCGCGCCGCTATTTAGGGTCATGATCATGCTGTCTTTTATGATGTGTGGCATGAAGCCATTTTGAATCAAATCGCATGGGTACACTCGTTTCACTTAGATGTTGCTGACGATGCAAGTGCTACCCCAGCCCCCCACCGTACACAAAGCCAAGTGTCTGGCTTTGAGGAGTGTTTGGTGAAGGGGCGCTGTTGCACGTTGAGGCCCACTCCCGTCACAAAACGCAATGGCACACTGCCTCCGGCCAAGATAATGAGAAGATTCAGTCAACTAACACATGGGAGTCTGGTTCCTTGTGTTGTTCAGCTGTGTGCCAGTAGGATTCGAGGTGATAGAAGTTGCAGGCCTGGATGTTGCTGGCGACGCAAGTGCTACCCCAGCCCCCCACTGTACACAAAGCCAAGTGTCTGGTGTGCCATGGGGGGCCGGATACTTTGAGGAGTGTTTGGCGAAGGTGCGCTGTTGAATGTTGAGGCCCACTCCCATCACAAAACGCAATGGCACACTGCCTCTGGCCAAGATAATGAGAAGGTTCAGTCAACTAACACATGAATCGCATTGGCACACGCAGTCATCCTCAACAAGATTCCTAGAACAGCTTGCGTTGTTGAAGCTGGGGCTTTGTGAGGCCAACCGCCTTGGCACACGCAATCATCCTCAACAAAATTCCTAGAACAGCTTGCGTTGTTGAAGCTGGGGCTTTGGGAGGCCAACCGCCTTGGCACACGCAATCATCCTCAACAAGATTCCTAGAACAGCTTGCGTTGTTGAAGCTGGGGCTTTGGGAGGCCAAGCGCGTTGGCACACGCAATCATCCTCAACAAGATTCCTAGAACAGCTTGCGTTGTTGAAGCCGGGGCTTAGGGTGGCCAATCGCACTGGCGCACGCAATCATCCTCAACAAGATTCCTAGAACAGCTTGCGTTGTTGAAGCTGGGGCTTTGTGAGGCCATTCGCATTGGCACACGCAATCATCCTCAACAAGATTCCTAGAACAGCTCGCGTTGTTGAAGCTGGGGCTTTGGAAGGCCAAGCGCGTTCGCACACGCAGTCATCCGCAACAAGATTCCTAGAACAGCTTGCATTGTTGAAGCTGGGGCTTTGGGAGGCCAATCGCATTGGCACACGCTTGAAAAACACGTATCTTCAACAAGTGCTTGTAATACGTATTAGGCTAAGGCCGACAGTCTGCTTAACACATCCATTGGTTTCAACGGGCTGCTTTTCAGGCTGAGGCCTAGGTGGGTTGCGGCTGCACGTTTTCTTTCTTTTCGGACTCGTTTTAGACTCGTTTTTGGACTCGTTTTTTTCCTGGGTAAACTTGCCAAAAACTTAACACAAGGCACCTCCTACTACTGCTACTACTACTACTACCACCACGACTACTACTACTACTACTACTACTACTGCTTCTGCTACTACTACTACTACTACTACTACTACTACTACTACTACTACTACTACACTACTACTACTACTACTACTGCTACTGCTACTGCTACTGCTACTACTACTACTGCTGCTGCTGCTGCTACTACTACTACTGCTATTACTACTACTACTACTACTCCTGCTGCTGCTGCTGCTTGTGCTACTACTACTACTACTACTACTACTACTACTACTACTACTACTACTACTACTACTACTACTACTACTACTACTACTACATATATATATATATGTTTAAACACTGCTCGGTTGCGGTTGGTTCTGCGATGTGCCATGGGGGTTGCTTGTATTTGGCGCTTCGAGAAATGTGTTCAAGATGTTTGGTTGCCTTTGGGTATGCATGTGCCATGGGGATCGCCTTCACACTAGCACATGAACTTGTGTTTGAAAGAATTGTTTCAGTGTTGTTGAGCATGCGATGTGCCATGGGGATTGCCTTCTTTTTGGCGTGCAAACACACATAGTCAAGCAACATCTTGGTCCCAACTGGTATGCGATGTGCCATGGGGATTGCCTTCTTACTCGTACTTAAACATGTATGCTTAAAATGCGTTTAAGTGCCTTGTAACATGCGATGTGCCATGGGGATTGCGTCCGTAGTGGTACTCAAACAAAGCAGTTTTAGGAGACACTTGGGCGCCGTGTGCCAGTGGGGAAGGCTCAGTTGCAAGGACCCTGCCGGGACTACTCGTTGCGTTGTTTTTACTGGCAGGCTGCGGACTTTCAAGAAAAACACGAAAATGCAAGGACTTTCGCGTTTGGGTGTAT